GATGGAGAAAAGCCCGGAGCACATAAATCTGGATGAGGCAAATTTATACAATTAAACGCCTGCCAAAAAAATTGCGGCATCTCCGTCGGAGGCGTTGATTTGCGCGCGGGGCGTGGGGTGGCACGGCAGCTGTGACGGCCCCACAAGTCTACCCAAAACCCAGGTGGGCACCCAAACAAATGCTGTGGCTATGCTTGGGATGCACAGGGACCGAGCTGCCTGCATGGATCTTTTATGAGAAAAAGCAACTTAGAGTAACTTTTGGCCTAATCCCTTCCTGTCCTGCAGCTCCCCATTGCCCAGCCTCATCTTCCCATCCCTGGGAGACCGGAGATGTGCTCTCGCCTCCCGTGGGCTGCAAAGCCCAGCGCCAGGATCTGTCCCTGCCACACGTCCTCGTCACCTCAGAAGCATCACACAGCAAGAAAAAAGGTAACTGGTCAGCAAACCAAACTGCCACAGGTTGCTGTTAGAGCTTTGGGGACCAAAATCAACAGCTGTTCGGGAAGGAGAGAAAACCCAGGGAGCAGAAAATACTTCAGGCTCATGCGAAGCTTGCTCTCTGCCTGACCCACAAAACCCCCCTTATACTCAGGGCGAGCTCTGCTTGCTGGGAACTCAACAGCCAAGCTCTCCTTGATGCTCGAGAACTGGAAAGAAGACCTCAACACCCTGCTGGCAACGCACCCCGAAGGCTTCGCTGTCCTTGTATCTCCAGGGCCTCTGGGCCCCATGCACCATGGCCGGGACATTGCACAGAGCTGCTCAGTCTGTGCCTGAGAGGGTGCGTGTGTGTAGGAGCCAGCTTGTTCTCCGCAGCGAGAGCCCTATGACTTCATCAAGGGGATGGCATCTGGTTTTGCAGTTGGACATAATTCAATTCTCCCCCTTGCTGCAGGAATTTCAGCTGGTGAAGCAGTGATTTACTCAGCCCGGCTGCACTTGAGTGCAAAGCAATCTCCAGGCTGCAATCGAACGCCCTGTTATTTTGAGAGCTCACGGACAAGGGAATAAATGTCTTGGTGATGGGAGCTCTTTTAATCCGAGCAGCTGCCAAGTGCAGGTTGCAGAGCTTTTTAAAGGCACATAGTGGCTCTCCTTTCGGAAGCGTGCTCCTGGTGCCACGCAGGGCTGTGCCCCCAACAGCTCCCTCCTGACCTGCAGCATGGGGACAGGATCTGCCAGGACAAGGATGGGGTCCCCTCACCTGCCCCATCACGGCTGCATCTCCAAGCATCCTCCATCCATCCCCACGTTCCTCTGGGTTTGTATCCATCCTGAGGCCACAGAGCCCCCTTCAAACTACCTGGAACCCCAATTTTAATTTGGGTCCTGGGTTCTCACACTCCCTATTGCTGCCCCTCATTCCACGTTTGGCATCTGCTGCGATGGGCAAAGCAAAGCAAACCCAGCAGCACCCCAGGACACCCATCCAACCGGGCCAAACACCCTCATTTTTGATTTCCTTATTTTTTGCTCACCCCCAGGGAGCTGGGGGGGACACACGCAGCCCTGCCAGAGCTATGGGTGGTTCATGGGCTCAGCCTGAGGGGAGCCCACAGAGCTCGTTGTCACTGTGGCCCAGCTCTCTGGGGACAGCAGGTTGGTGCAGAGCCCCAGCGAAGCCTGGGGTTAGGAAGTTTTTAGGGCTGCACAGCTCTGTGAGCACTTTCACGCACACACCCGTCTCGGTGCAGCTGCTTAGGCCGCACAGAAGGAGAAACCTTGGCTGCTGCCATTGTAAACCTGAAGTCATGCCTGATACCACCCCAGTCCCAGCAAGCAAGAGCCTGGGATCTCAGGAAAGCGACTTTTGGGGACAAAAAGCAAGGCGTCCACCCCATCTGCGTTAAAAACCCAGCGCCTCCGCTCAGCCTCACACTGAGCCTGGCTGGCAGTCGCAGAGGACTCCCTGTTCCAAGTACGAGAGCAGCAAGCAGCAAAACAAGGAAGCCAAAATATTTCCAGGTTTACGTTTGAATCCCTCCCTCCTTTCCCTGCCCTGACAATGTCCCGCACAGGCGCCATCCTCCCGGCCCCGCTGGAGGGGAGCTGCTTGCAGCCTCCTCCGAGCCCCCCTCCTCAATTTTGGCTTAACGCTGCGATCCCATCCCTCCCTGCCGCCGAGACAAAAGGCGTTTATAACCGATCTGCACACCTCCTGTAGGGCCGGGTCCTTACTAGGAATCGGCCACCTCGCCTGCATGGACCAAGGGCAGAAAATCCCATTTGTTTTTTGGAGGCAGCGGCGTGTTGCAGGCAAATCAGCCGAGGAGAGCCACAGCCCGGGAAAGCTGAAGCGAGCCACAGGACGAGGGGGAGAGCAAAGCCTGAAGCCTGGTTTTCAGAAGGGTTTTGCTGGCTGGGTACAAAAAGATTTGCAAGAAAACTCAGTGCAGCCCCAGCTGGGAGGCACTGGCAGGGGACAGCTGACCACCGTGGGACACCCCCAGGTGCCCACCGCTCACCCTGACCCCAGGGGGGCAGCACCCAAGGGTGCTCGGTGCCGAGACCGGGGTGAAGCTGTTGGTGTGAAAGCAGCACAAGCGGGAATCCAGCCCGGGCTATGCGCGTAGGGGGGGGTTAAGCAAATAAATAAATAGGGCAGGACTCGGCCAGGCACTGATCCGACATGCCGGGCCCCGCGTGGGCTGCCTCGAGCAGCCCCTGTCAGCTTGGGTTTGGGGGGCCACGAAGTCTCACTGGGGTCACACCGCCTCTTTGGGGTGCTGCTGAAACCCCGCAAACTCCCCCATTGGGACAAAAAAAAAAAAAGAAAAAAGGGTGAAGGAAGCTTCAGGGAAGCATCCCCCTTTCCCTATCTTCCCAGCCCCCAAACTGGCAGCGAGCCCCCCAGCAGCGCGCACGGGCAGCCCCGGCTCCGTCTGCGCCCCGCTCCCGCCGGCTCCGGATCGCCCCGTTTTGCCAGTTCTTTGCACCTTATTTGACTGCTGAAGGGAGAATCAAACAAAGCAGGCAGCCAGATCGCCTATCAAGTTCTTTCTTGCACCGTAAATCTCCCAGCCCCAACCGCTCGGGAAAGGGCATTATGGGTGCACCAAGAGGGGTTTTTCCCCCCCAAAAAAATTGGGGTTTCAGCAGGGTCGGGGCTGGGGGCAGCCCTGTGCTAAGCGCAGCACTGGCCGGGTTCGCTTTCCTGCATCTGGGCTAGGAGGGAGAAGGGGGAGGAAGGGCGTAGAGCAGCTCTTTATTTATTTGCTGCATGTGTGTGCAAGACTGCTGCACCTACGGTTATGCAAAAGAAAGGCAGGGGCGAGTTAAAAATGTAAAAAGGGAAAGTTTGGCTAAAACGAGAAGATAAACAAACCGGGAGGGTGAAGCGCCAGGGTTTTTCTTTCTCCCTCCTGCTTTCGCTCGGGTCTTTTTTTCCCCCCTTCTTTGCAAATGTTAAAAAAAAAAAAAAAAGGAGAAAAAAAAAAAAGGAGGTAAAGAAACTGGAGAGTTTGGGAAGGAACAAATCCGCCTCTGTGGACTCGGCTTCCCCTCCCCCAACAAAAACAAGCACTCAGGGCTTGAAGGAATTTGCAGGCAGAGATCTGCCAAAAACATTGTGAAAAACTATGGGGGATTCATTGGAAACAGATGGCGTTTTCAGCTGTAATTCTGAAATTCTCTCCTTTTCTGACACAATGCAAACAACCGGGGGATGCGGGCCGGGGGCCGAGTGAGAGGCGCAAGGCGCGGGCTGGGGGGGGGCCCTTGGGTGCCCCCCAGCCATTTGCTTGCACCCCCCTCGGCCAGGGCAAGGGAAGGGGGATTTTTAATTTTATTTTTTTCCCAGCCAAAACACGGTGCGAAGCCTGCACAACCCGAGAGAGGCCGGGGAAGGAGCCGGGGGGGGGCACACACCGCGCTCCGCGCCCCCCGCGCATCCTTCGCCGCCGGGCCCCAGGTGCGCAGCGCGGCCCCACGGGGGGTGGGGGGGGTCTCAGGGCTGTGCCCCCCCCTCCTCCGGGCCCGATCCTGCCCCAAACCCCCAAAGCAGCGCCCCCATTTTCCTCCCCGAGCCCTTTCTGCTTTGCCCCTTTCGGAGCGCAAAGCGGGGGGGGCTCCGCTCCGAGCCCCCAGCGGGGCGCGCACGGGCACGGATCTGGCACCGGGGGCGTTCATCTGCCCCCACCCCAGCCCCTAAATTTCATCGCACCCCCGGGATGGGCACGGCGGAACCTGCCTGGCCCCTGTCACCTCCAGCCCCTTGGCTGGGGCTTTTTTTTCCTTTTTCTTTTTTCCTTTTTTCTCCCCCCCCCCCCCCCCTCTTTTTTTCCCTCCTTTTTCTTTTTTTCCTTTTTCTGATTTTCTTTTTTTTTTTCCTTTCATTTTTATTTTTATTTTCTTTTTTCCGACCGTCTCCTTTCCCGGGAGGAGGCAGCGGGGAGACAAAGAAGGTGAGGGCAGGGAGCAGCAGCCTCCGCCAAGGCTTGGGGAGGAGGCAGGGGGAGCACCAAAATCCGAGCCCCCCCCCCCTTCCCTCCCCTTCTCTCCCGGCTTATTTTCAACATGTGGCAAACTGCTGCAAAGAGAGGGAGGGAGAAAAGAGGCCCACGGGCAGGGGAACTGAGCCGGAGGTCTGCGAGAAACACGGGGAAATAATCTTGAAAACGAGGCCGTTCCTTACCTGAAGGGAAGATGCAGAGAAAGACAGGGAGGATTTGGAAAAGTCCCAGGGCTGTGGATCCTGCCCCTCTCCCCATACCCATCCATCCAGCTCGAGCTTTAACCACTATCCTCTCCCTGGAAGAAGAGTTTAAAAAAAAAAAAAAAAAAAAAGAAGAAAAAAAAAAGAAGGGAAGAGAGGAAAAAAAAAAGAGGGGGGGCGGGGGGGAAATAAATCAATCGAAAGAAGGAACGGGGAAGAAAAAACAAAAATCAAAAGCCCCACATGGCTCCGCGGAGCGATGCAGGGACGGGTGGCCCCAGCTCCGGTGGCCTCTGCACTGCGAGATTACCCAGCCTGTTCCTCCTCCTCCTCCTCCTTTTTTCCTCCTCCTCCTCCTCTCCTCCCCTCCCCTCCTGCAGCCGCCGTCCCCTCCCCTCCCCTCCATCACCCCGCCGCCTGCCAATGCGCGCCGCCGGCCGCGGGGAAGGGGCGGGCACCGCTCCGCGGCCATGGGAGGGAGGCAGGGGGGGCACGGAGAGACCCCCCCGGGTACAGGCATTTTGGGGAGAGCCTGCACTATGGGAGGATGTGTATTTTTTTTTTTTTTCCAGCCTCTCTACAATGAGACTTGGGGGTGCGGCGTGGGGCAGGCTGGGCTGGGGAAGGTGAGGCCGTGCCCTCGCCCCTGGCACACGCAGCTGCTCCGTGCCACCCTGCGGGGTGGGTGCAAGCTTTCTGCCACCCTTCCAGGTGTTTTAAAGCCCCAAATGGGTCAGAAAGGGCAAATATAGGAGCTCTGGGAGAGGACAGCTGGTGGGACCCCCCCGTCCAGCCACCAGCTGGGTGCTGGATGCTGCAGAAGGTCACGCAGAGCTGTGCCCTGGGTGTGCAGCCCGTCCTTTTGCTTTTTGGGGACAAATCCCACCGGCTGCACCCATATGGTGGTCCCGGGGGTCTCATTGTGGCAGCAGGGGGCAGGTGGCAGTGCCGGGATCCCCCTCCCTGCTCCCCAGCCACATGGATGGAGCAGCAGCAGGGAGCACACGGGTGTTTGCCTCCCGGGCTCCAAAATCCTGCCCTTTTCCTCCCCCTGCGATGCCACAGCAGGACGAGGCGAGCAGGTCGGACCTGCAGCCGTCCCCGGGCTCTGCTCCACCCAGCAAAAGGCGAAGCCAGGAGGGAAGCACCCCCCGAGCAGCCCACTTGGGTCTGCTTAAAATTCCCCTCGCAGGATGCTTTAGCCACAGCGAGCTAAGACAACTCCAGTGCTGAATGAGAGTGCCCACGGGTGTAATACGCTTTAATTAATGCGCTTTAACTTCCTTGTTTTAGATCATTAGCCCTCCTTTGATGGAGTGCCCCCTCGCCGTCCTAATGTTTTATCTCCTTTCTCTCGGGGGTGTTTTACAAAGGAGGAAGGGATGCCGGCTGCTCTCCGCCACCCCTCTGACAAGGGGCCTTCCTCCTGCGGGTGTCAGGGGCCAGGGGTGCTCCTTGACTCGCTTCCAGCTGTCCTTGGAAATCCCCTTCTCTGCCTCAAGGACGCTTCGTGGCGTGACAGCAGCTTCACAGCTCCAAGAGGAGTTTGTTCTTTCCTCCCCGTGATTCAGCCACAAGAGGTATCCCTGCAGAGGGAGCTGAGGAAGAGGAGATGGAGGTCGGTGCCCCAGGAGCATTGCCGTGCGTCTGGCCCCGGCGCTGCAGCTGAAGGAGGTGCTTCGCTGGGGCCTTGTCCGGAATTAAAACTGCTGAAGCTTTTCCATCTGGGACCCAGATGGGATCCAAAACTCCTGGGGCCTTGCCTGCCTGACGGGAGATCCGTCTCGGTCCTGATCCTCCTACAGCTGCACTCGGGTGATGTCCACCGGAGTTGGGGGGGAGCTGCGTGTGCGGGACTGCTGCCAGAGCCGGGCAGGAGATGAAAGCTGGCAGGCCGCATCCAGACCTGTAGCAGAGGCAGTGTGGGAGGAACGCCTACCCCAAGCACCTCTTTGTGGGGGATGTCAAACAGGGGCAAATATGTCCAAGCCCTGCCAGCTGCTGCTACCACCCAAGAAGAAATGCCTGCCGAGGGGATGTGTGGGCAGCTGGAGCTGGAGGGGGCCCGCGAGGAAGCCAGGGGAAGGGGCTGTAGGCCCCAAATGCCTTCCCCTTGCTCTCACCCTGCTCTCCTACAATGCAAGCCTTGATTTCGGTTCAATCTGTGGAAATATCCCTCCTGCTCTTCCCCAGGCCGATGACATACAACGTGATCTATTTGTTTTTAAGGCACAAACAGGCCGCATGGCCAACTTTTCAAATCCAGCTGCTAAATAGCACCTCCAGCTGGATTTGACCTCCAGCCCCCCTTTGGTATTGCTGTCTTGTGGCAAGATGAGGCATTGAAATGATGAGCTGGGACCCAGTCTGAGGCGTTATTTTTAAGATCAGATCCTTGTTGGAGCTTCTGCCTTTGGCTTCGGGAGAAGTGCGCTGCTGCACAGCCGTGCGCTGGTGCCCCTGGCTCCAGTTCATAAAGCAATTGCTCCTTGATTTTGCTCAGTTGCATCACGCATTGCAAATGGGATTGCTGTTTTTGGCACCGATCAAAGCAGCGGATTTCGCTGGAGAAAACAACAGATGTGTCCAAGCCATAGCTGCAGAGCAGGAAAAGGCCCCAAATAAGGTGCGCTTCTGCAGCTCCCGCTCCCCGATCCACGTTTTTCAAACAACCTTCACCTTTCTGATAGCTGGATCAAAGACCTGGGCTGAAAATCGCCCACTGAAATGCAGGCTGGGCGAAATTCGGATCTCTGCCTTGCCTGATGGGGCTGTCTCAGCTTGGAATTGGAGAACTGGGGAGCGCTGATCCCGTTTTCCCCTGCTTCTTTCCTTCGTGGAGCCTGGACTCGGAGCTCCTTGCACACAGCATGTGGGCAACCACCCGCCGCTGAACTGCAAACACCTCTGAGGCTCTGCGCGGGGGCAAAGGCACATCCGTGGGCATCCACACCTCGGTTCCCATGTTTAACCTCGTTACAGAGGGGTGTGAGCTTCTGAGCATCCAGGTGCCACGCGCGGAAGAATCATGGCCAGTGTGAGCCTGTAGCATCCTGCTGGCTATTTGCAGGGAGATCACAGCTCCCGAGGGATGCTCAGCCCACACCGCTGGTCTGAACTTGGCTTTTCTGACCCTTTCCCAGGGCGCTCTGCCCCGTGCCACACCGTGCATGTCTGTGGGCTTCAGCGGGGCTGGAGGAATGTGCCTAATTTGAACCCTAAGGTTTATAGGCGATGCCTCCCCTTGCTGCCTTCCTAATGGAATTATTCAACACCTGTAATTATATGGCTAAAATAGTAAATATGGGTATTTCTGAGGAGTGTAACTAGTAGTTAGAGGACTCCTGGTCTGCTCCTGACTCTCCCGTGAACTTCCCTTCATGCAATGAACCCCACAGAGCTGCAGCATGTGTGCCTTTGCCTTCTCTGCCTTGGGACAAGGTGTCCAGCGGGTGCTGTTTGTGTCCTGGCTGGGGTAAGCTGTGATCAGCAGGGCAGGAAGCTAATCCTGAGGCGTTCGGTGTTGATACGTGCTTGGGTTAAGCAGCGAAAAGCTAATCACTCCCTAAAGGAGGAAGGGAAGTTTGTAGTGGAAACCCCCAAATGATTATCTGGGGAGGTTTGGGAACCGATTCCAAAATGCTCATGGAATTAAAAGCAAACACCTGTGCTCTGAAAGATTCCCTTATTAGAGCAAAAAACCTCAGAACAAGAATAATGAAAAACCCACCCTTCATCTTTCCACGTCTTTTGTGTTTGTGATGCTGGCCAACACTGCAGCTCATTTCAAAGACCTCCCCTTTACTAATTTTTCCAATTTCTTTTATTATTTTATAGTTTTCCTGGCTGACAGCAAGAATGGAAGCTCTCCCTGAGCTGGGCACCTTGAAGCTGCCAACCAAGTGTCTAAACCCAGTGCCCTCCTGACCTGCCCCTGCTCTGGGACGCCTGCAGCAGCAGCCAGGAGCCCGGTGTCCCCCCGAGGTGTCACCAAATCCCTGCCCCAGCACCCAGGGACCTCATGGGGCAGGAGAAGGAGGTGGCATGGGCTGGGCTTTGCAGGTTGGCCGGCTCCTGCGTGGCAAAGTGCAGAAAAGAGTTGCCCGGCTGAGATAATCCACCGGCCCGCAGCTGCCTCTGTGAACATTAGACTCGCCGATCTGCCTATGCAAAGAGAGGCCGGCGGGTCGAAGGTGGAATTAAATATGGCTTTGTAGCACCAATAAATAAAGGAGAAACAGCGCGCTGTTGACTTGCAACTTCGCATCTGCTGAGAGTGACTAATTAACAGCGGCCCTAATTGAAGTCGCCGGGGCTTATCCTGCTTCGGGTTCGCTCCGCCAAGTGCCACAAAGTCACCTCGAAGTCACCAGGCTGTGCAAGGCGAGGGGAAGATGGGCTGGAGGAAAGCTTCTCATCTCACCATGACAGAAAGTGGGACACAGAGGGGTATTTTCAGTGTGATCGAGGTCATCACGTCCATTTGTTTTTGGCTGGTGGCGTTCCTTCGCTTCTTCCCACTGCAAAAGCCTGGTGGGGTCGGACTCCTCCGCAGGGCAGCCCTCCTGTGTTCTGGCCTTCACCTCCTGTGGATTTAGTTCTCTTCCTTGCCTGGCCTCCACTTTGGGGTAAATATATCCAGTACTGTCTCTCTAGTGTATCTCCTACAGGTCTAGGCTCCTCTCTAACAAAAAAGAAGGGCTGGGAGGTGCCCGAGAGCAAGTTGAAATGGCCACGTGTCAGCTTGGCAGGAAAGGTTGGCGAACCTCAGGCGCCCCAAAATAAACAGCAGGGAAGGATTCGCACCCAGCTCTGGGTGTTCATCAGCGGAGACAGAAACAGGCCGTGGAACAGGACAGCGAAGCAGCCTTGTCTTTCTCTGCTGCTGTTAACAGCTACTGGAGTCTTGAGAAAGCGCAAACACAGCTCCCTAATTCCGCCCCTCTACCTGACAGGTCAGTCGAGGACACCTCCTGGGGCTCCCCATTAAAGGTGGGGCACGGCATTGAGCATCTGCAAATCTGCACCTGCAGCCTGCTGAGAAAGGGGAGCTCGAAGGGTCCCAGGTGAAACCCAAGCACCTTGCCCAGGTCCCCCTCTGCCAATTCCTGGCCAGCAATCCGGCCCCCCGTGGGATGCCTCTCGGTTATGAGATGCTAAATGACAGTGGCACCGCCTGATTTTTAATATTTTCCTGAATATCTGGGAAAGACATGCTCCTTATGGGGAAAAAGAAAAAAAAAATTGAATCCAGCCCTTCTGTAGGTATTGGAAGAAATGAAGCTGGGCCGGGCGGCAGCTTTTGTGGCGGGGGAGCAGCTGGGGGCGGCTGGGGCTGGGGCCCCACTGGGTGGTGCTGTTAGCCCTGCGCCGCCTGCAAAAGTATCCAGTTTATAAAATAAATGCAACCCAACGCCGCCTTAAACCACATGACATAACAGCAGCTCGCGAGCTCCCATTAAAATCTCAATTTGGGGAAATTGATTCTACCTCTGAGCAATTGCGATGCAATTACTCCAACAGGCAGCAATCAAGGATCACATCAAAACAACACCAAACTTTCATCTCCTGCCTCCCAACCACCACCACAACAAAAAGCACCTGTCTTGCAAACGCAGCCCGCTCGCCCGAAACGTACAATAATGGTTAGGAAGAGCAGCGTGCAGGTCCCGGGCTGGAAGCAAGCCTCGACAGGGGCCGCTCGGGTTGGTGCCTCCGGAGTGTCCTGCCTCGGGGCTACATCCTGCAGCTTTACGCCGCTCCCAACTGGGATTTGGGGCTTTTTACGGGGCTGGTTCAGCAGGAGCAAGGCCAGCCGGGCTCCAGCTGCCCCTGCAAAGGGATGTGGCCACATCTGGGCAGCTGTCACCCCTCTTCAACCCACGCCCTGAAGCTTTGAGACCCCAGGGCTTTGGGGAGAGCTCTGCAAATGAAGCGCTCCCGTCCTGCTGCCGGCCACCGGCCCCGTTATAACGGGAAGGGGAAAATATTTGGGGAGGGTTGGCGGGGAGGGGAGATATTTCCAATTAGCAAGGGGTTATTCACCGGGCTGAGCCCAGGAGGGAGCAGTTTGGGTGGCAACCACCAGCGGGGAATAAACGCCGGGCTCGGAGCAAGAGGGAGAAGAGCCGGGTTTGGGGATAAAAGCGGAGGCAGCAGGAGGAGGCAGCCGGAGGCCGGTGGCCTCGCCGGGTCCCACTGCGGGAGCCAGGGCCATGCAGGGAGCTGGGGGCAGCATGCAGCCATGGGGGGCCCCGCACAGTCCCCCCAAAATCCCCTCCCCTTACCTTAGCGGCCGCATCAGCCTCTCCAGCCCGCCGCGGGGTTGGCGCAGGGAGCGGTGGCTTGTTCTTATTATGAATTCTTATTATTAGTTAGTATTTCTCCAGGAAGACGGGGGAGGGAATGAAATAAAAATAAATAAATAAAATTAAAAAAAAAAAAAAAAAGCCCAAAGAGCTGAAGTGGCAGGGGAAGGGGAAGGGGGGGGGGGGTGCCCCCCCTGCCCTGGGCAGCGCAGCCCCGGTGGGGTGCAGCGGGGCCTCGCTCAGCGGGACGCAGGGAGCCGCATCGCCTTCCCGGAGCATGTGAGAGGCAGCGGAGGAGATAGAGCCAGATAGGGAGGTCTCCTCCCTCCCTCCTTCTTTCCCTCCCTCCCTTCTTCCCTCCTCCCTCCTTCCCTCTGCACTAGGAGCAGCATCTCGGCTGCAGGCGGCCGGGGAGGGAGGGCAGGAGCTGCCCCCCCCCAGGGTGGAGATGGGGGGGTCCCCGCTGAATCTCCCCCCTCCGGCACCTCCTGGGCAGGCAAAGGGGCTGGGGGAGGAACAGGGGGGCTTGTATGGTTCCCCCAGCCTCGGAGCTTTGGGGATGCTCCACCTGCAGCGGGGGGTGTGGAGGGAAAAGGGGATTGGGGGGGACATGGGGGGATACCCCTTGATGGTGACTGAGAGCATTTTTCTGTTAATGGGAGGTTGAGGGGAGGGCTGGGGTCTGGGCAGGGAAGGGGATGCTCTGCACGGAGCTTTCAGGCACCGGGGAAGGGCTGGAGACCCTGGGCTGCCCTGACAGCCCCCCATGGAGCCCCCATCCCTGCCAGCACCAGCACCCAGCCAGCCCCTGCAGCCCCCCCCAGCTATCGGGGTGAGCCTGGGGTGGGCACCCAGCTCCCACGGAGCTTGGGGGGGGTTGGGTTTGGCCCGCATGGGTGCCTGCGTTTCTGGGAAAGCTCCGGGTGCAAGGCTGTGCCAGCCGGAGTGTCAGACGTGCAATTAATTACTGCAGCCCCAGCGCCACAGACGTGCTAAATATGCTGTCGCCGTCGTGCGTGGATAATAGCAGCCCTTTGCAAAGTGTTTCTTTCTCCCCTTTTCTCTCTCTATTTTTTTTCCTACCACCAGAGACAACAATTGCAGCGCACACAGCAGCTCTCTGCTGCTTGATTAAGTCAGCAGTGAAGGCAAAATGTGCCCGTACGGCTCGGGCTTGAGCAGGGAGCTGAGGGTGTGTGAGGTACAGATGAGAAAATGGATGGGATTTAATCACAACGAACCTAACCAGCCCTGCTGCCGTAACCCTGCTGTCCAAGAGGTCTTTTCCCTCCGTGTGGGTGCGATGGGTGCGTAGTCCTGACAAAGGAACAGCGCCCGTGAGGATGAATGGTTAAAGCGAGGACAGAGAAAAGGCTGGGGGAAAGTCCGATGCGTGCCACCTGAGTTAGCAGCCACAGAAGGAGCCGTTTCTTTCCGCAGCGCTGATGCCCGGAGCCGTTTGCTGTTCTGGATACCGTGTGTGGGTGCTGCAGCACAGCAGAGCTGCTCCTGCGGGGCCTGGGGCATGGCACAGGAGGGGAATCAGGCACAGATCCCACCTCGGGGAAGGCAAACAGCTTCTGCAGGGGACCCCAAGTGAGCCACAAAGAGGATGGGGGACAAGTGGCCGCGAGCCCATGCCCTCCTGCGGGTGCATGCAGTGGGTCGGGCTGGAGCCCCACACCCCGAAATGCTGCTGGTGCAGCCCCTGGGCATGGTGCTACCACAGCATGGGGTTTGCTGCCACCAATCCATGTCCTGGCTGTCCTGCAGCAGCGCTTTGCTGAGAAGACAAAGCACAAGACCAAGAAATGTTAATGCCCAGGGTGGTAGAAGAGCCTTGGTGACAGGGGCAGAGCATCCCAGCAGCAGGGAACTGGTGCTGGGCTCGATTCAGGCTGGGAACCACGAGAGGCTCCCAGCCAGGCACAGCCTCACTCGCGAGGGCTCTCAGAAGTCCCCGCCGGCCACTTCCCCCAGCCCTTATCAGCGTGCCGTTAATCTTTGGCATCGCAGCAGGAGCCGGCACCTTCAGCTCCAAGTGCAAGGTGCGTGCCTGCGACCTTGCGTCCTGCGCCACGAGCGGCCGGCGCGGTGCTGAGCAAGGTGTGGGGGGAAAGGATCCAGCCCTGAGAGCTTCGCCCTGGGCAGGTCATGGGATTGTGGGACACCGTGTGATGCACATTTTGGGAGAAGGGAAGGGCTCGGTGGGAAAGGAGTATTGGTATCGACATTACTGGTGTAAATTTGCTCCTGGTGAGCGAAGTACAGCCAGGTGGAAATTGAAGCTGGGAGATTCAGCCCTCCTTTTCCTTTGCTTGTCCCCAATTTAGTGCCAGTGACCAGTTTCACCTGGTCGCACCGAACACGAATTTGCCCTTCTCCCCGCATGAGGACCTGCTTGGCCACAAACCAAACCAAACGAGCAGTGCCAGTAAACTTTGTCCTTCCACAACATATTGCACCGGCACGGCCGGGGCGGCCGTTAGAGGAGGAGCTTGGCCGGGGGAGAAGCAGGATGCTGGGGCAGGAGCCACCATCAGCAGGCAGGTGGCTGGCCCCAGCAGCAGGAAGGTGCAGGCCACCTGGGGCACGTTAGCGGGTTGGGGTGTGTTACAGCTCACAGCTCAGTGAAATCAATGGAAATCAGCTTCAAGGGTTCATGGGCATCACAGGATGCGAGCTGCAGGGTCATCAGATACTGCAGGACACACAGATTTCTCCTTTTCTTTCCCATTTCTGCAGGACTCACCTCAGGCTGTTATTTTGGAGGCGTTTTCTGTGCTGCAGCTCTCTTCCCTGACCTCTGCAGGATCTGGCTGATCCCGATCTGGAGGTGAAAGATTGCCACCTCACGGGCTGTGAACCCATCTGTGAGGTTGGGCTCTGAATTATTAACACAATCAATGGCCGCTTCTTTTCATCCTGCAAGAGGCACAGAGGAAAGCTTCGGGGCCCTGGAAGGGAGGGAGGGGAAGGGGAGAGAAGTGACCGGTGCCGATGGGTTTCCTTGGGGTGGAAATATCCCCATGCCTGTTTCATTTTGGAGCAGGAAAAATTTGGGAAAAAGAACAGGAGGAAGGTGACCGAGAGGTGCTGTAGGGCTGATGGTGGCACTGGGAACCTCTCCGTCTGTCTGTCTGGGGAAGGACGTCTTTCCCTCCAGCCCCTTTGGTGCATCACAGCCTACACCCAAATGGGGTCCCCAAGAGCGTGGAGGAGAGAGTCTCACCTCCAAGGAGAGAAAGGGCTGGGGAATAAAGAAACACTTTTATTCCCCAAGTGCCACGAAGCTGACAACGAGGCTGTGTTCCCCATGCAAGGAGGTGAGACCTGACACCGGGTGGGCAGTGGAGCCTGCGTTTTGTGGGGTGCTTCGAGCTCTCTGTGGGGTTTCTTCACTACAGGGAGGCCACGGATGTCTCCAGGATGGAGCCCAGCACTGAAGTGGTGCAGGTTTGGTGGCCACATTGTGGTGACGTTGGTTTCTCCCAGCTCCTTCTCCTGCTGCACCTGGGAGGAAGGCGCCACAGCCCTGTCCCAGCCAAGGGCCAGGGACAAGGGAAAACTCCCCAGTTCTGAGCCCCAAGAAGGAAACGAAGCCAACTGGAAATGAGAAAATACAACGGCATCTTCACTCCAGTTTTTCCAAGAGGTTAAAAAAAAAAAAAAAAAAGCTATTGTGCTAAGAGAGCTATTCTTTCTGGGGAGATAACACAAAGCATTGTTGCGGAGCTGGCCAAAATGTCTGAGGAACATTTCCCCCCCGTCCCTTATTTTCATTAAAATTCAGATCAACATTACAAGTGAGATAAGACAAGAAGCATACAGTTACAGTTCTGCAGCACTTTGTGATCACTCACAGGTTCTGTAATCCCTGCTCGGGGGGCTTAGGGTTCAGCCGGGCTCATTTCAGAGCTCACCCAGTGCCTTGCTCCCGCTCCGGCCGCTGCTCGTCTGCGCCGCTCGCACGGGAGACCCGCAGCAGGACAGGCTGCACAGCCAAGCAAAACCTCACAGATGCATCAGCTGCCCTGGCTGGGGACCAAAATTCATTTTTTCTTTTTTTTCCTATGAGGCCATTTATTAAGACTCTTCCCTTATTTTAATTTGATGTTTGCTTTAAGCATGAAGAAAATGATAGCAGTGCAACTGCAGCCCCAGCAGTAAATGCACAGCACGGCAACTGAGAAACGCCAGAAGTCATTTCTGTTGCCAGGTATTCCCAGAGAAAATATTCAGGCCGTGGTCCAGCACCGAATTTATAATTCTGCCACACCAGGAGCTCACTGCCGTGGGCATGAAGCTCCTCTGCCAGCCTCCCTGGCCATCACACGGTGACTGTCTGCTGCTAGAGGTGATGCTGTGCAAAGGGCTGGTGGTCTTCACATCGAGAGGAATGAGACCAGCTACAACTGCAGCAAGGAATCCTCCTCCATGAGCTCTTACGAGGGCCATCGTCACCATCTGGCCTCCGGGTATTTGCAGCAGGCAGGGGCGTTGTTCCTCGGGTTCAACCCGTGTTCAGATTTAGGGACGTGTTGCAGTATCAGGCTGAGTGGGGCCCTCAGAGCAACATTTAGTGTTGAGCACCCCCTGGCAGTTACATGGACCCAATGAAGTGATGTGATCCACGGGATCTGTTAAATTCGGCGCCAGGCTGTGCACACATAAGGTCATAAAGGCAGCAAGATGGACAGGAGTCGAGTGCTTCTGGGCTTCTGGGGAGCAGCCCGGGCTGTCGCTCCTTCTGCTGTCATTCCTTGACTGACAAAAGGCCCAAAACACATCACGTACCAGGCGGGTTGGAGATCCGAACCCTCCCCGAATAACTCAGCCCCACTGCGTGCATCGTGCGAGACACCAGCACGCGGGGCCCAACCAAAGAGAGACGTCAGCTCCCAAAACCAGAGGAGCTGCGTGGAGGAGCTCCAGCAAATTGGCACCTCCTCGCCAGGGGAACACAGACGGGGCAGCACCGAGCCAGATGGAGGGGGAGAACGCTCAGCTGGGAGTTTCAGGATGGGAATTATACAAACCCAGCCACCAGCACGTCACCTTTTCAAAGGCTTCAAATCCGCTACAAATTGCTTCTGAATGACAATGGGAGTTTCTCGCCCTGCACAAAGCCTCCCGTATTAGCATCTTTATTGGAATAAACCAGCTAATTTCTCCAGTTGGAGGGCTGGCCCGGAGAAGCCCTGGTTCCAATTAGATGGATATCTAATAGCTCGATGCTGGCAGGGAGGCAGGGGAGGCTGTGCTCCAGTCCAGCAAGGGGCTTGCCACCTGCCCGAGTCCCGATCAGAGACAAAGAGAAGGGGACAGCTCTGTCCCCAGGGCTAGCAGCAAAGCAGGGCATTACGGGGGCCGTGGGGTCCTTTTAATCCTCAATTTGTCCTGTGTGGCATTCAGTAATTCCCAGGCGCAGGGTGGGGAATGAACCCATACTTGCAGGAATTGTGATAAATCTGTGCCCTTCGCTGCCATTCAAGTGCCTTTAATGACAAATATACCTGGCTGGCTGGCTGCAGCTGCACCGAAACGTGCAGGGAGGCACAGTCCGTCCATCTATCCATCCTGAACAGCCGTGCAGCAACTCGACAATAGGTTCAATGTCAGCATTTATCTTGTAAATGGGCGATGGGATTTCTCCAAGCCAAGGGCTGATGCCTAGCAGTTGGCTGTATTGCAAAGAGGAAGTTTCCTCTTTGTTGCCAGTGGTAAATTCCATAAAGAGAAATGAGAAAAGAAGATAAAACTCAAACTCAATAACATATACTCCACGTATCTGAAACGTGATTGTCTTGTGGGCAAATAGAGATCATTTCCCATTAGGGACTGAAAACAAGAAGACTCGGGAGGGCTTCCCTTAGACTTCTGCTCCCCAGAGCAGGATTTATTTGGGCGTTCATGATGCAGCACTGGCCTGGACTGTAGCTGGGCTGCTTTGGGGCTGTCCCAGCACAGACAACCTTGTGCTATAGCCCAGGTCCCAGCCACAGCTCCGGTGACTTCAGGGTTGTCAGGGGGAGCCAGAAGGGGCAGAGTGCAAGTGCCCCTGCCTGCATCAGGTCTCATTCATCTGCTCTCTTTGGCCAGCAGTGGCACAGATTAGTTGGAGTGACTGACAGCAGGAGGATATTTTCCCTTTGGCTTTGTGTTGAACTCTTGGATTTAAGCTCTGGGGTGTGGTTGTCCATGGGCAGCGAGGTCTCCAGCGGGGGCAGCTCCCTTGGGTTTTATTTTATTTTTTTTTCTGAAGGTTCGGCTTGGTGGAGGAATTCTGAAAATGTCTGTCTGCGCTGAACAAACACAGCCCGGGGGCAGAGCGGGGCTGGTGCCCAGGGACAGCAGCTGGAGAGGGAAGGGGGGGATAAAGGGTTTTGGGGAGCACCCCATAGGCACCGTGTCTGCTTGCCCCCACCTGCGGGGAGTTACCCTGATCTCGTACTGACCGCTCTTCCCACGCCAAGGGGCTTTGCTCAGCGATGTGCTTTCATCTCTCCACCCGGACAAACACTTCTTCTCCCTCTGTTTTGCTTTGCTTTGGGTGCAGAGCTCAAGGGCATTTATTTTTCAGTCCCACCCCAGCTAGCAAGAGCTGCAGAGGCTCAGCACCAGGCAGAGCATCGAGGCCATGCCAGGAGGCTTTCTTCGTGCTGCCCCCACCAACACATCCTGGCAGAGGAGCTCACTGCCCCACGCAACAAACCCGTCCCGATCTCCCCCTCACCTCCTCTGAGGGTTAATGGAAACAGGAGATGGGCTGACAAATGCTGGTAAATGAGGCCGGGCAGCTGGGGGGAGCGGGTCAAAGGACAAAAATGAGGACAAGTCTGCACACAGCCCCGCGGCGGCTGCTGCCACCTGCCCCAGCCCCAGGATGGAAATTGCTGCCTGACTCTCTCTTCCTCCCATTAAAGGTGTCACCCGCATCTAGACGTCACCTGTTTGGGCTTAAAAAAAAAGATCTGTTCCTTTTTTTAGGGGGCTTCTTCTCCCTTAACAAGAGGCTGATAAAGTTCCCTTGGATGCTGCTTCCTTCGTGACCACGAATAAGCCTTGCTATGGGCTTATGTATGGTGGACAACTTACATTTGAGAGTTTCTTCACTACCTGCTGACAGGCAGCCACTGTTGGGGTGGGATGTGGGAGCCTGGACGGGTCCATAGGTTTCCCTGCCCTTGCAGGTGCTCTGATCCCAAGTATCACCCGTCTTTCAGCAGCGCTCCGGTGATGGGATTAGCGTGCATTAGGAGTTTCTGTTCTCCTTTCTCCCTGGGAGGATCAAATGCGGCGAAACGTCCCATTCTGCTGGTTGCTTTTTGAAAAATGTGTGGTATGTGTTAACGTTAGAAAGGCAAGGTCAAAGGAACAGGAGCAGGGGACACAGGGCTGGAAAAAACTCCTTTAGGACATTGAGTTCGGCCTGTGCTATTGTAGTCCCATTTGCAAACTGCTTTAAAAGTGCAGTTGTTTACCCTCAGCACATGTGCTGCAAGTCTCTTCCTGACCACAGATGTTTTCGGGGAAGAAATGTGGAAGAGAAGCTGTGGGTCTGGGGACCACTTGTCCCCTAACAGAAGAGCAGCCCCTGCACCAACCCAACAAGATCAATGTCTCCTGCTCCCGTGGGCTGGAAACTTCCTCGGGGAATTTTCCGCTCTACCCAAGGAGCAAAAAATTGTTGGTGATGTTTACCCCAGAGTTTAACATTGTCTGTTTAGGCCTGGAGAGTCTGACTTTGAATTTGAGTAGTGTTTCAGTAGAAACAATCACTAATGGACACTGACTTCAGCGTGTAGCAGGCTGAACTGAGGGATGGTTTGGGAAGGATGCTGAGAGAATCATATCCAGCTGAAAAAAGTGTTGGGCAGGCATGTTTAAACACCAAAAGCCGTATCTGCTGCACAAATATATGAAGCACATGGCCACTGTCACCAGATGTTAACTAGGCCCTTCAGTGGACAAATGTCCCTGTCTGACATCTCTGCCAACTGTCTCCTGCTCATTGGGATTCCTGTGCAATCTGTGACCCATTTCTCTAAGAGGACTGATGCCCGACTGGCTGGAGCTCAGAGACATCTCGGCCTGAAACTGTTCCTCTTGAGGACACAGAAGTGTTCTTAGGCCCTCTGCTAAGGGATAATTTATGCTCTGGTACTTTGGTACTTAGAGTTCACCAACCTCTGGAGAAGTCCTATAATGGTGCCTCCCATATTGCTGCCCTTGGGTTTTCCACCCTCAAATTCATCCTCCTTCCTTCCTGGCATCACCTGGAGTCACCCGCGTCCCTCACCTGCCCTGTGGCTTGAGGCAGGTCCCACACTGAATGGTGCAAACGGGAGGGTTTTGAACCCTTTTGGGAAACAGATTTCCAAAGACAGGAGCTGCCTTACAAGCGGTGGAGTGAAATTAGTGGTAGCGGTGGCAGAAACATTGTTTTTGTGGTGAAGAAAACACGGTGTGGGTGATGCCAATAAAACTCAACCAAATTCCTGAAAGACTCCTTTGAGGAGCTTGTTTCACATTCGCTGCTGGCACCATCTCCCAGCCGTATTATGATCCTGAGGGATTTTAGCTCAGCTGGGGAGTTTTCAAATGCCAGGCCTCCGATCCTAATGCTGCTGCCGAATCAGAGGTGAAGTTGTCAGAAGTCTCTGAGCACAACCCCGACCGTGAGCCCTGCATAATGCACCACCAGGAGGGAGTGGGGAACCTGTATCTGATTTTTTCAAATGTTGATCATCAGATCATGTTGGATTTTCTTGTTGAGTTTAAATTTCATTACAGTCATGTTTTTAGGACATAGCTAGTATGAGCATGGAGGAGCACTGATAGAAAAAGAGAACTTGTTCTTTTTTGAATAGGCAGCTGGTGCATTGCTTGCTTACAGCAGCCTTCTGGAAGACAAGCAACTTTTTTTTTTTTTTTTTTTTTGAAAGGCCTTGGGAAAAAAAGGGCCATCATTTCCAGGCAGGAATTTTTCTCTGAGGAGGATATTTTTGTGCCTGGCTAAGGAGAGATGAAAAGGTCAAAGAAAATTAAATTCACATGTTCAGAACATTTCAGGGCAGGTGCTTTTCCTAAGCCAGAACTCAGTCCTGGGAGGGTGTACCCCAGGATTTACGATCTCCCTAACGTTTCACCTGTTGCACTAGCACAGGAGGGCAGGGATTTCACAGCCCTGGCTCTTCTGGACCCAACTCAACAGCTTTGCTGCAAACCCATTGCAATTCGTACAGCTCGAGCGAAGGCTCAGACAAGCACTCCGGTCTGGCTGCTCATCGCTGCATTTCACTTGGCATGTAGGCTATGGACGAGGAATGCACAGAATTTCCTTTTCCACCCCATCAGATCCTCTGTCTTGAGCCTGGCCCGGCCCCAAGAGCACAACGGATGCAGCTGGAGAAGGGCAGGTCCAATCTTGCTGCCGAGCTCCAGTGACACTTAACCTCCTCCGCTGGGTGATCTGCTTGCAGCTGGAGGTGGATGCTGACGAGGCTGATGAGCATCAGCCTGCCGAATTGTTAGCGAAGGGAGCAGAGCTTATTTATTCGGCTGGAGGAGGTGGTGGAGGCTAGGGCTCTTGTGAGAGGAGGTGACCTTGAATCTCGGTGAAGGTGGTCTTTGGTTTCGCATCGTGGTTTCTCCATTGGTGCTCCTGAGCAGGTAATGGGTCCCCAGGCTTCCCCTCTGCTTGCTAAGGATGCTGCCAGGGTCTCATCCCACTGTGAACACGGGTTGTAACTAATTGTAATTTTTGAGTTTCAATGGTACAGGGGAATCAATGGGGAGCTGTGAGCTGTCAAATAATGAGACCAGCTAATCCTCTGCCTTGCCCCAGGGAAGGCGGTTGGTGGGGAGCAGCGTTAGCCCTGTGGGACAAGCTGTCTTTGTGGTGACACCTATGCTCTGGGAGACAACGAGGTTTTCCCACAGGTCTGTGAGCTTGGCCTCGGTTGCGATGGGAGCTGTAAACACAGGATCAGATTCTGTCTTATCTCATCCCTAAAAATTATTTGTCTTGGCCAGGAACGGAACATTAACTGGCTTCTTTCCTAAAGCAGCTGTACAGCAAAGATGGGATTGAATGAGCCCCTTTCCCTCGAGTTTAGGCACAACTTGAGATGGGTAGAGAGCTGCTATTGCATCACCAATACAGAAATAACAATAATTCACACCGTGCTCAAAGACACCAGAATTTAATGACTATCAGGGATGGCTGGACTGGTCAAAGCTATCTTTATTGCATCAGGAAAAGAAGCCTCCTTCCAGGGATACATTTCTTATTGAAGAATAGGAGTTTTTTTTTTTTCCTGGTGGAATCATCCTGACAAGCAGTGTATAAATTGCTGGAAGAAAGTCAGATTTCAAAAGGCATTAGGAAATATTTCTTTTCCTCCCCAGACTATGGCTTTCCTTTAATGGAAGGACAGTGTCTTGAAAACAGCCCGTAATGGAATTAGTTGTTTAATCAGTCTTTATTTTATTTATGTATTTAATTTCATTGAAGTAGTTAAAGACTGTTTAGGTTGACGGAATTTCCATTGTTTTTCTTCTGCTTATTTCTTTATCGGAGGATTTCTAGGACTGTCAAACTTTCTCTCTGATTTTTGCTAGGAGGTCTTCCTTGGCTGGGAAGAGGTAGGTTTGCCTAATAATGTTTATTAACTTAATCAAAATATTAACAAAGACCTCCTTTAAACAAAGTGCTGGCTAGGCACTGGAGTGAAATATCTGTTAGCAAAACCTACGAGTTTAAACTAGAAAGGAACTTTTCTCAATCATTCAGCTTTGTGTTCCTAATGGGATTGTAATTTTGCTATTCAGTAACCGTATAGATCTCAATTGTCACTTGATTATATATTTTTTTTAGCATCAAAAAATCAAAGAGAAATGACAAGTCATTTTCTAAGAGTTTTCAGGCTTCTTTCTCCAGCAACAAAGAGCCTAATCTCTGTTCTCCTATGTATTGCTCTCGCTGGCCTCTTGGCCAATTATGCTGGGTTGGATTTAGTTTAACCCAAAGCAATCATCAGGTCACGGTGACTCTGGAAACAATTTTTTTTTTTTTTAAAACAGAACTATTTTTCTTGTCCTTTTTCCCCTCCCCTCCTGTCATAAAGCAAGAGGCTTCAGTTGGCTTTCTCTCCAGAGAGATGAACAGCAGCATGCGGAACAAGCGCTGTGCTAATGAAATCCTGTCTTGGCTTAAGCTAAGCTGGGATTTCAGCTAACCTCTGGGCAGCGCCCCCCAGCACAGAACTGATCTGGGGATGGTTTAGCCTGTGGGATGGTCCTGGAGAGGCTGAGTGTTGGGGTTTCACCCCGGTGGTGGCATCCCCGTGCTGCTCCATCCCCAGCTCCTGCTGCTCTGCTGGCTGTGATGGGGACAGAGTAAGGGGGTGGGGAGAATGATGATGAGGAAGGGTCCTGCTTCACAGCTGAGCATCCCAGGTCTGGAAGCAGTTTGCACAGGCTCTGTGCTCCTTGCCCTCCCATCTGCACACAGGTAAGAGCACAGCCCCATCTTGCCAGGGCACGGTGTGGAAAATTCCCCCCAAGACTCTGGAGCGTATTGCAGCGCTGCAGGATGTACAAAATGGGCAGCATTTGAAGTGTTTCCTTATAGGATAATCGGAGGAAGTCATTGTATTAAATATCCATTTGTGTCATTAGCCTTTTATTTGGTGCTTTGTCCAGACATCCTGTTTGCTTCCCCTTTGAAGTAATGAATATGTTTCCTGTGCGCCGGGTCCCGTCCGAAGCTCCCGTGCAAAAGCTAAGCATCAGGCTAGGACCAGTGTGTCCTCGATGGGGAAAGGCATTTCTGGACATGCCTCGTGTGAGGAGTTGTGGGATAAATCCAGAGCAGTGTTCTCTGGCTGCCCTTAAGGCACCCTCCTTGGGCTGCCCCATCCTGAGGAGGGGAGGGGGGAAGAGCTGTCAGCTCCTCAGGTTACGGGGATGATCTTTCTGGCATTTGGGACTTCACACTGCTTTGGAGGGACATTACAGTGACATCAGCATGTCATCCTGGCCTGTTCAGGGATCTGGTGCAGCTCCTGGGGTACACAGAGCAAACGCTGAGCTGTAATTTGTCTTAAGAATTAGGTATGTGAAGAGGTAGCAGGTGCACAGAGTTGGGGTTGCTCTATCTTTAAACCTGGGAGGTAGCAGAGCTGCTCCCCATCCCTCTCCCTTCCTTCTAGTTTCTATGGAGTAAGTTCCCTCTGCCTTTCAGCAGCAGGGATCGGTGTCCAGCTACTTGTCTGCACAAACTGCCTTGCCTCTGCTACTTTGCTCATTCCCACTGACCGAACCTGGATCCCCACAGCAAGCAGCAGAAGCTGCTCTGTTTCTAAACTCCATCCTGAAGAAGAGATGGAGGCTTTTGAATGTCTGGAGGTGGCACGACACGTGCTAGTGAGCAGATTATAGCCACATCCCATGTACACGTTAAATACTGGTAGGATATTGTGCCAGCAGGAGGGATCCTGCCTCCTAAAAAGCAGCTGGAGGAGCTGCATCACCCATTCAGATGCATCTTCACTGCAGCAGGGAGGACAAGAGGAAGGATCACCAGCTTTGTGCATCTGTCAGAGGAGCACTCTCCTCTCTTGCTGCCAGCTTGGGAAGGGTTAAGCAGGGAAGCACAGCCCCTGAGGACCAGGACTGTTGTTCCATGCAGATTGGCTTCTTCTTGTTTCTTCCATCGATCGCAATCACTCAGAGCTGTGCCTGTAACAAACTGCCTTAAATCATTGCAATCATAATAAGCACACCTTGGTAAATAATGCATGAGGTGTCCGTAAGCCTATATTCATTAGAAGGAAGGTGCATATAAAGCATGGTAATCATCTGGGCTCGAGTGGGGGCTTGGCTGGTTGGATTGAGATGTTGTTGGTGCTGGGGACCAGCCCTGGACTGAGCTGGGTTTTGGGCAGGCTCCCTGGCCCCTGAAGTTGTTGGAAATGAAGGCAGGCTCCTTTTCACCTTCATGAATTTTGTACGAGATGTTTAAGATGCCTCCAAGGTTCACAGTGTAATACAGGTTTAGGTGGAAGTGGGCTTGTGGCGAGTCTCCAAATAGCATAATAACAAGGCATTGCAATTAATAGCATTTAATATACCTTAATGACACCAGAACACATAGTGTGTAACAAGTTTTGCTGTGAGAGCCTCGTAGCCAAGTTAATGGTCTGGATATTAGAAGCCTTTGTTTTAAAATGCAAATTAAAAATGCTTCGTTCTCCATTTGTCTCAAGGAGCAGAGCAGGGTTACAGCACGGAGCTCCTTTAGGGTGACTTTGCTCGGGCTGAGGGTCGGTGTGCTGCTGGGGCTGTGGTCCTGCTGCTCTCAGGGCAAACTGCAAGGGAAATTGGGCAGTAATTTCCACCTCCCTTTCATCCTAGGGGAGATTATTATTTTTTTTATGAAATGCCAGTGATAAGGACAATGTAGCTTTTGTCTGGTCGGAGGGGATGGAAGCAGCAGCAGCGTTGCGGGGTGCATGGACAGCTGTGGGTGGCAATGGGTCACTTCACTCCATTATGGTCTCTGGCAAGTGAGCATTAAAGGGGGTGCGAGGGCATCGTTTCTCAGCGATGACTTCATTTGGCTGTCTAAACAAACAGCCGTTCCTCACCAGGTGCAAAGGGCCTTCTATTTGTTTTTTAACCCCACAAAGGGAAAAAGAAATACCTAAAGGGAAAATAGCACCAGTGGATCGGGTCTGCTCGGCAGCTGTGGTGGTCTCTGCCTCCTGGAAATTCAGCAGTGAGGTGAGGAGGGTGGGGAAAACATGATCCTGTGCTCAGCCCCACTGGGGTGCCTTCATGGTCAAGGTAAATGGGCTCAGAAACCTGGATCCCCCAACCAGAGGTGTCCTGTTCATGCCGTTTGGCTCTGGGTTGTCTGTATCCAATGTTTGTTGGGTGGTGCCCACAGTGGGGTGAGTAAGGGAGAGGAGCTGCTGAGGGCCTGAAGCTATGTGCTGGAGGGGACCGAGCCTCTGGTGTACAGGTTCTTGATCCACCTGAGGCTGTCTCCTTCTAACACACAAGTGTGGGAGCTGATTTTGTGCCTGGTGGTTGAGTCTGGCCTTGAGAATGGGTGAGGAGACAAACCCAGCTGCTGGCCCAACCCCATCCTTCACTGGTGTGGCTGCTTGCCCTCGTTGTGCACCAGGCCCGGGCACGCCACCGTTCTTGCAGAAGTGCTGTTGAGTCTGCTTGCCCTCGATGATGTCCTCTTTGACAGCTCCTGGGGATCTCAGCTTCGTTTCTGCCTGAGTTGAAGCAGAACATTACTGGTTTGTAAACACGAGCAGTTTAAGCGTACTTCAGATCCCTAAATAGGCCACATCTTAGATGAATTTAAAAACTCTGCTCTCCTGTTGGCAGGCACACCCTAAACTTTCATAAACTGCTATGCCTTCATCGTTAAAGCTGTGTTTTTTGTCCCCAATACTCTTCCTGGAAGGCTGCTGCAGAAACTCACAGCTGGTGGTTATGGTTAAATATAAGGAGGAATAGTCAAAACTTCTCTAAAAATACACCTCTGAGTGCCAAGCTCAGCCTTATCTCCAGGAACAGTATGAAGCGCTTGAGATGATTTTTTTGGGTCTTGGGTTCTCTCCAGAATCAATTATTTTTGCTTCCTCCTTGTGTAATTAAAGAAATAAATCCCTCAGCAGCTCAGCTCCGCACAGAGCAGAGCCCCCCCCAAAAGAAAAGTGATGATCCTTGCTATTTTGCAGTGTAGTTAAATTATCATTTTTTTCCCCTCTACTTCTAGCTGTATCCTGTGTCACAGAGAGAGGCAAAATGGCAAAGAGAAAAAGGATCAATTTTAAGCTGGTCAAGTTAGGCTGGAGAAGACCAGACAGCCTGAGCGGAGGCAGATAGATTGGGGAATCCTTCTCCATCCTGCCTCCACCTTCCCACCACTGCTTGCCTGTGCAATGCTCCCAAGACATGGGGGTGGTTTGTGAAGGTATGAACCCTGTCCCCATCCCTACTGTAGGGCTGGGTGCGATGTGATGCTCCCATCTGCTGCCTGGCTTTTGGGGAGGCAGCTCTTGCTCAGCCCTGCAGATGGTGGTTGGAGCCCATCAGACTGACTTTCTTTGGTAACCTGAGCCAGGGTTTGAGCCAAGGCCTGGGAAGGTGAAAGGCTAATGCACTCGCCTCCCTGCGTGCCACCGAGCCCCCTCGGCTTTGTTAAGGCGACATGCAAACTTTGGGGAATGGCTCCTGCAAGCCATAAATGATGAATGAAACGTGAAAGCCCAGCTTGTCGTGCGGGGACAATGCGCTGGCTCCTGGGCTGTTTGCTCTGCGATATTCAGCAAACACGCTGTAAAGAAACTCAGCAAGGTTGCGGACAAAAGGAGAGGACAATCGGCTGAAAAACTCACTGGGCTCAATTATGGTCTGGAATTTAATTCCTGCAGGTTTAGTAGGGCTCCCCTACCCCCACAGCCATCCAGCCCCAGGCAAAGTCCATCCCTCAGGTTGGCTTTTTGGAGGGCTCCGGGTAGCCGCAGAGGTATTAGGCTTCTAAATGGCTTCTTATTCACAGAAAGCCCTGTAGATACCACAGGAGCTTGTAGAGATTTCTTCTGAGTGAAGCCATAAACCTGGAAGTGAAAGGGGCCAGGATGCTCTTGAGGCTTGGAAATGTGGGCTGCAAAGAAGAGAGGGAGGGTTAAAGCCCATAAATAGTTCTCAGCTAATGAAATTGCTGGGTGGGGAAAAGGGGAAAATAGCTCCTTTTTAAAGCAGATGAGGCAAACATGCCTCCCAACATATTTTCTGCTCATAAAACTCACTCTGGGTTTCTAGGTAACTAGTGGAGACACCCCAGGGAGAAGTTTGTAAAGGTTTCCCACTGTTCCTGGATCTGAATAACTGAATGGCAATGCTGAGTATTGACCTCACCTTACACAGGGAACAGCTTCCCCCACCCCATCTCTCCTGAGGCTTGCTCATGTTGGAAAAACAAATCTGAAGGTGTGGGGGTCCTTCACTTTGGGAGACCTGCTCTTGGGATCCAATATTCACCACTCCCAAGACCAGGAGGGACCGTGGTTATATGATCCAGTCCAATCTCCTAGCTGTCCCTGCTTACATCCCAGTTTTGCTCTTTATGGCCAAGCGTCCCGTCCTCTCGCAGAGCCCCATCTCCTTGTGATGCCTCCACCTGCTGAACAGGGATGCAGAGCCCAATGGGCAGTCATCAGGTACCAGTCTTGCTCTGGACCTCGCTATTTCTTTATCGAGTTGAGATCTTAAGGTAAAGGCCTTGGCTCTCAGGACTGAAAGGTATTCTGTGCTCTACACGTCTACACGCTTACAGCATTTTGAAGCAGCTTTTTCTTTCTGCAGGACAAATTCTCTGCAGGTCTCACCTTCAGCTATGACTTCCATGCCCTTGGCAATAACCTGGTGAGTCAAACCCCTTATTGAAGGCACGGCAAGGTTCGGTGATGGGTTTTCTCCTTGCTGGACAGGGTTTGCTGGCAGGACCTGGCTGTGCCCCCAGACCGTGTGGGGACAAGCGAGGCAAAGGGCTTTGTCCTCCTGCTGCAGGGGATGGAGCTGGGAGGGAGCACTGGTGCTATCAGGTGGCTTTGAGTACTTCACCCTGAGTCTTTGAGATAGGTTTACTCTGATCATTGCACTGGCAATAAGCATGCAGATCCCAGCTAAGCCTTGATATGAACGGAGGCGTTGCAATGAAATCAGTCTGGAGGAGCATTTGCTTTACTTGGGGCTTTTCCCATGCTGGCTCCCCTGTCTGTACTGGGATTCAGAGCAGTTAATTCAATGTGTGAATGAGAATCTGGTACGTTGCTGCCACCCAAAACAGTACAGTGCTCTTGCTAGTTGTAAACAGAATTTCAAGCCCAATGAAGACTTGCAAGGCAAAACTGCAGGTGCAAGTGGTTTTTGTGCACAGCAACAACTGAACATAAAGTTTGTGGCTGAGATGGAATCCCTGCTGTTAAAAAGCAGCTACAGAAAAAGCACACAGCCAGCTGACCCTTCCTGTACTGGAGTAACTGGACGTCAGGATGGAGAAGATGCAGATATCTGTTTGCAGGCAGGGATGCTGGAAGGACAGCGGCACAGGATCATTGCCTGTTGTGACTGAATTTGACATTACTCATATGTCCATGAAAAGTGGTGGCTGCACACACAAAGGCACAGGGCTGAACCCTTCCCCCATGTGGAGGAAGGGGAGCTGCTGGTGTGGGTGCAGGGGGAAGTTCAGAGGAAGGAAACAACTCGTGCTGCTTCCAGAGGGCCTGTCCTGCACAGGCAGGCTGGGATGAAATCTAGTAGTAAGTACATTAAAAAGGAGGCAGTCTTTCTGTGGATGCAGCAGTCAAGTGTGACTGTGCAGAGGCTGAGGAAACTCATAGCATTTCGGGATTAATTAACACAGGACGATCTTGTGTTTGCAGAGTAGAAGGAGCTGTAGATGAAACACAGCAAGCTGCAGTTAACAAGCATCCTGAGGGGAGACTGTTTATTAATCTGTGTCTGGAGGAGACTGTTGGGCAAACCAGTTTCAGATCAGCCTGGCAGGACTGGGACTAGCCTTTCCCCATCGCTGGCAGAGATAATTGGGCACCTCCGCCAGTTACTCGTGCATTTGTGATGTGCCATTTGCTGCAGCTGCTCCCCTGTCACTTTGTCCTTGTCCCCTGAGCATCCCTGCAGCCCAGCCCTGTGCTTTAGCACAACTGTCTGTCTCTGTCTCTGGATACCTCCTCTCAAACCGGTTCTAGTTTGGCTTTAACCACTGAGGCTACCGACATCTTCTTCTAGCTTATCTGATGGTCTGAAGCCCACAGGAGCTGTTGCTGTCTGCTGAGGGATTTAGCAGTGGTCAATTTGTGCTGCAGGGAGAGGACTGCATATTCCATGCATCCCTCCCACCCGCAGCCATTGTTTTGTCTTCAGATCTCTTTGTATTCCCCCACCAGATATTCTTTGCGAGGACAGATATAAATTAAAAGCAAATTATGCAACCTGATATAATCAGCTGACAGACACCTATCTGCCCACATACCCCGAACAAATGAAACCACCACCACATCTGAACACAGACTATGGAAAAGCTGAGGTGAAGTGGGTTGGAAGGTCGGGTCACTCAGATCCTGTATCCATGGGGCATTTTGGCAGGTCTTGAACGGGGCTGTAACAGGCTTGGAAACTCTGGCACTTTGAGGTGACAGCTATTGGGTGAAAAACCAGAAGCAATGCTGTGAAACTCCCTTTGGAGGAAAAACAAGCAATGCATGTTTTGGTTTGCTCTGCCCAGTACCTGCTGTGGTTTGGGGTCTGCTTCCCCTTGCAGGGGATGTCCTTTCCTGCTGCTGCTGGAGGATGCTGTAGGCATAGAGAGATGGACACTGGGGTCTGGTGTCCCCACCTCTGTTCCATCACCTGCCCAGCTGGAGCCCTCCATCACCTGTGTAAATGCTGCTCCCATTAAGTAGGCTCTTGCTGGACTTTAAAAGCCTCAAGATCCCAACATCTGACTGCTGGGGGCTGTGCTGCAGCCGGCTGGGTGCAGTTTATTGCCACCAAATGTGTGCAGGGGTTTGGCCAGGCAGCACTGACCGAGGGCTTGTCCTGTTTCACTGGGACAGATGATATTTGCTCTCTCCCTCTGTCTTCCCAACAAAGATTTCTTGTCTGGGACATGACGTGAGTCTGGATGCTCAATGTGAGCTCTCAGGGCTTGCAGGAGAGCCCACGGGTGTGGGGAATGCCCAGTTTTTCTTTAAAGCAGCCAATTCTTTGCTCTCTGTGACATGCTGATAACACTGCAGCAACAATCTGTGCAGCTTTCAGCCACCCCCTGTCCAGAGCTCAGACAAGCCCCTTGCATTGCACATTGCCTGGACAACTTCTCCAATGACAAACTCAGCCCACAAATAAGGTTTGAAGGATATTACTGCATTTCCCAAGAGCACGCAGCTTTTGAAATGTCATTTTGCCTGGTGTTAGGAGTTCTAGAAGTTGAAGCCAGCCAGCTGATAGGGATCTGTCACTGCATCATGAGGACTCCTTTTGGGAACAGGCATCTGTACAAGGGATTGTTGCAGGCACATGAATGAAGTGTTAAGAATCAGCTGAGGGGCAGAGCGTAAGGGGAAGGTGTGTCTCTGGGTGTGCTGAAACGTTATCTCCAAATTGCTCATTAAAACTTCATTTTAATGGCCTGATTCAGATCCTGTTTATTCAAGCGCAATCAAGAGTGGCTCCCCTGAAGAAAACCTGTGCCTGATACAGCAGTGCCCTGCATCTTGAAGTCCTTCATTTGGGAGCATGCAACACTTTTAGCTTAACCTCCGTTAAAAAAAAAAAAATAAAAAAAAATTGAGGGGCCCTCTCTGTTCATATTGAATATAACTCCACCTGCCCTGTTGTTTCTTTGCTCTACCTGGCCATCAGCTCTGTACCTGATGGTTTTGGGATCCAGCATGCTGCTCTGGCAGGTCATCGAGGCAGCTCATAAGTACTCATTCAAACACTGTTCAAACCCCTCATCTAATAAGCTAGTAGCAAAGCAGCTTCCAGAGCCGCACTCTATTCCAGCAACTCCCTTTGCCAGCTAGAAATTACACTATTTTCCAATTTCATTATTACCTCTGTTTTTTATTATAGCATCATTAGAGTGAGAAAACTGGAAAGGAAGTGGGGATTGTATAATGCAGGAAATAGTGAATTAATACCTCGACCATATGATGGAATGGCGCAGAGCTGTGACAGGGTCAGGAAAATATAGAGCAAATGAAGACCATGCTGGCTGGGTGAGGACAAGACTTCTCCACTTGCTCTGAGGAGTATTAGCTCACAAAAAGAACGATTTATCAGAGATGTAAGATCTGTGTTTTCTTCTTGCATGCACATGTGCCTGCTTGCACATAGAGCTGTCACACGGAGATGGAATATGGAAAAAAAAATGCTTTTATGATGGGCTTTAGCATGTTGGCAAAAGAAAGCTGATTTATTGCCTGAGAAGTCATGTCAGGGCATTTTAAGGAAGGGGCTGCATACGATGATGATAACGAATTGTCTATCCCTTACCACGTGGTTCTCCAGTGCTAAATCCTGAGAAGTGTTTATTAGCTCCTGAGCATTTATAACTACCAGCTTCAGTGCTGCAGTCTGAATAGGAAAGAGCAGCTCCCACCAGCCAGCAATGTGGAGAGGTTTGTCTTTGTTGTTCTGGAAGGGTAGGCAGCACTAAATAGTGGGGGGAAAAAAAAACAAAAACACTTTTTTTTTCCACTTTTCAAATGACATCTATATTTTCAGGCTCCCTGACCTTATACTGACACACACAAATCAGACAAATAACCTGTTATTTACTGTGCGCCCTGGAATTTTTGACAAAGCACGGAAATTTGGTGATTCTGCTGCTTGGAAATGGCACTGCTCGCAGTTCCTGGGGATGCTCAGATAAAAGCCTCTGCAAAATGCATCCTTTAAAACCCCATTTTGTTCATAGCAACACCAGAAAGTAATTAAATGCTGGTACATATCGTTTGTATTTTGACACTGCCTTTTGAGCTGTGAAGTGATTAGTTGGGTTAAACAGCTCGGCAGCAGAAGCGGCGTGTATCTGTTGTGCAGTTGTCAGATCTCAGCAAATGTGCTTTTAATAACAGCTTGTTATTCACTTCGCTGGGTAGCGAATGGAGGCAGGTTTTAGAAGCAACTTCTTATTTAGACATCTTCTGATCATCTCAGATGCCTGACAGCGCTGCAATAAAGATGCTTCCTAGCTGGGTGAGCGTCTTCAAAGGAGCTGCAGGATAGCGAAGTGGAAAACAAAAATATCTGCCGGGGAACTGAAAGCACTGATGGGTGCGGGACTATGAATTTTAAAGTATAAAAATCCGGATTAGCCATTTCTAGAGCCTCTCAAACCTTTAAACTCTTTACAGCCTGTTGAGAGCAGGATGATCTCCGACTTCCTGAGGGGAGGCCAGCGCTGGGGTGGAAGGACACAGCTGCTTCGCCGGCACCGAGCAGCTCTATGAGGTCGGGAGAGATGCGAAGAAACCTCCTGCATCCCCCAAAAAATACACGGGAGAGGAAGGGGGAAGGACATTTGCCTGCCAGGAGTCACTCGGAAGTTATTGGGTCCGTTCCTGCTGCCACAATGGGGAGCGTGCAGCAGGCTGGGGTGACCCCCAGCAGGGCTTCCAAGGTCCGAGGCTTGCGGAGGCCAATTATGGGATGTTAAATAAAATGCCAGGCGATCAATGAAAAATGTACATTTATTGAGATGTAACAGTCAATTGCTTGGCTGTTAAGGAGCTATAACTGGGTATTAAATAATCAGTTCAGCTGGTATTTATTTAATATAATCGCAGCCTATTAAACCTGAATTAAGTACAGAGTTAAGTGTCTCTGGGACACACAGCTGAAAGTGCTGCCAGGAACATTTTATGTTGCCTGAAACCCTTTGTGGAAAACTCCCACAAACATGATCTCTGCAAACTTGTCCTTTGTTTGACGCGGGAAGCCTAATAGGAGATTTTTAATTGGTGACCTGAGCCATGGCAGTTATCTAGCAACTTTTACCTAGAGGAAGACTTGATGCCAATGCATGATTTCTGTAGATCAAAAATACTTGACTGACTTTTTGGAGCTGTTCCCTTACAGATTTGGTACGGTTTATTCTGCTTCACTTGCACATCTTTGCTCCCCTGATTCTCTGATACTGACGCAGTTAATCGCATCAGCACCAAGCGAGTCCAAAATAAATGTAAAATGCTGCTAAGTCAACACGGAATCTGCTCTGACCTGGCTGGGCTCACAACCTGGAGACGTGAATACAGAGAAACCCTCACACTGGAAATGTGAGGTCAGAGGGCCCAAGGGGATGGCTGATCCCAGCAGCTCCCCACTTTTTTTTCTACAAGCTCTCAGAGGTTTGTGCTCTGGCTCCTCGGCTGTCAGCGTGGTTTTGCTTGGTGAGAGCTCACGTGCTGCCTTGAGCCTCCGAGCTAGCACAGGCTGGCACCTGGGATGAAAATCCTGCTTGTTATTTGGTGAAATTGCTGCCGCTGGTGTTCTTGGTCTGGGTTGAAATGCTGCTATTTTTGCTTACTTTAATCCCTTTATTTTTCTCCTTTTATAGTGATGAATGAAGCCAAGGTAGGGCTCGTCTATTAAAACAAATACCCGGAGTGAATGCACATGGTGTAAATTACAGATTTATTTCTGTGACAGCCTGTGAAGAAAACCTGTTGCAGTCCGGGCAGACCCTCACTCGTTACCCCCACTGCCAGGGCTGCACGCGGTGTTTTCACGCAGGGATTATTTGGGTTGCTTTGGCTCTGCGCTTTCCTTTCCCCAGCTGCCTGAGCTGATGTGTTGTTTCGCAATTCCTGGGGCGTGGAAGTGTTGCAGAGAGCCGATTGCAATTTATTCTCCCCATCCCTGATAGAAAAGCACGGAGGAAGCGAGTGAGCCCACGCAGGGTGTGCTCCTGCCTCCCGAAAGCTCTCCCTTCTTGCAGTGGGGACAGAAATCGCGCTAACCAGGCAAATCCCAGGGCCTGTGCAACCTGAATGCCTCTGTGCAAGGAATGCTGCAATCTCCCTTCCCCTCCCTCTGGCTAATTAGCCCGCGTTTAACACCCAGACAAAACCCCGCTGCACCTGCACTGCCCTGGGAAGCACAATGCTGGGGCAGCCAACAAAGCCGCGTGGCGGGGACGCGGCTCGCTGAAAGCCCTGCGATCCCCTGAAAGCACCCCTTTGAAAAAGGATGCCAGAAAAAGGAAAAAAAAAATAAAAAAGGGAAAAAAAAAAAGGAGGAGGAGGCGATTTGCTCGCTAGGACTTTTTCACTATTGGAGAGAATGGGTGAAAGCCCACAAAGGCAGCTTAATAAAGAGGAGAGGGAGAACAAGGCGAGGGGAAGTGCAGGGCAGGCTGAAAGGAAGGAGGACTTTCCAGGTTGTATTGTCCCCTGCGCCCTCCGGAGATTCTTGGCCAACCTCTCAAAAGCCGTGGATGACACCAAGTTGATTGGTTTTGCCGCCTCCGTTAAAAGTAGAGGCTGGGGAATAGATGCGGCCACCTTCCGCCCAGGGCCCTCTTGTTAGGAGGACAAAATAAAGTCTCATTCACGGGCACTACAAAGGGGCCAGCCCCCGCTTTGATGTGGTGACCGATGGCCCCTCCACCTGTTTCTGCCCTGTGGAGGAGCCGTATGATGCGTCCTCAGCCGGCTCTTTGGCCAAGTTCTCCCTAGAAATAGCTGCCATTCGGCAGCAGCTGAAGGTTTTCCTTTTTGAAAAACTACTTAAAAGTCTTTAATTAAAAACTATAAATGATTTTCTACCTTCACAGAGGAAAGGCAGAATTATTCCTCGTCCCAGCAATACATATGGGAGGAAAGCTTATGCAGAACTTGTGCATTCTGGTGGCTGGGTTGGCTGATAATTCAGCTGGCTTTTAGGGCGTGACTTTTAGAAGCTGCTGCTGCTTCATCATTAAAAAACAAGCTAAAACTCAGCCGTGCCACCCAGGGGGGCTTAGCCTCCCATGCTTATCACCCTGCAGTTGATATAGGCAGGCTCAGCAGAGGGCAAAGCGGGGTGCATCCCTCAGTCACCTGCTGAACGGCCTGGATTGCTGCCGTTGGTGTGATAGATGGGCTCTGTGACAGGAGAGGAACCAGGGGCAGGATGGTTAAATGGCTTTCCTGAGACTGCTGAAAGAGTAAGCGTTGAGGATGGCTATAGATCTCAGGAGATTCTGATTTCCAGGCCAGCACAAACATATAGTCATCTATAAAGTCATCTTTTCTTGTTCTTTGTACAGGACGGACAAAGCAGAGCCCATGAAGATGAGGGATGATCACAGGCCTGCTGTACAAGGCGCTGTATGCCTGAGTTAGCACTCTCGGAGCCACAGTTTGGTGCCAAATTCCTGAGAGGGGTTTTATCTGAGGGTGTCTGTTCCCTGTGAATGAGCTCTCCGGTTCACCATCGCCTAGGGGAGGCCTGATCATTCTCAGTGTGATGCCCATGCTGGTAGGGTGTCTGGCATCTGGAGTCGCGGGACAAAGTGCCAGGTGGGAGACTGCTCACAAAGGCTGTGGTAGGCTTCAGGCATACCCTGGTTGATCTCAAAACGTGAGCAGAATATTTTCAGGCTTAACTAGCAGAGTGATGACAAGGTCAGTCCCAACAAGAATCACTAGGTGTCTAATACCCTGGGCATAAATTAGCATCATCAGTTCAAACACCTCGAAAATTAGAAGTAAATTACTTCAGACACTTAGGACAGATGGCATCCACACACCAGGCAGAGCCAGAAAACCCAGCTGTCAGAGCATCGCCAGGCCCTCCCTCTCCTGTGAGCTGGGGCCCAGCAGTGACATGGTGGGACTATTGCTTGGTGCTGATGTGTGTTCCCTGAACCTCCCTGAGCAGCAGAGAGGAGTGGGGGAAGAAAAAGTGATTTGTGCCTGAGAACAGGTGATTTCTCTGGACATCCTCTTTCAGCTTCATCCAGAGCACAAGCAGCAAAGAGAAAAACTTGTTCAGTAACCCAGCCTCCTGCTGAGTCCTCCTACAGTGATATAAATATGGCTGGAAAATGTCTGTACTGTTTATTACTTTGAAGTTAACTGTGCACCAGCTATTTTCAGAAACATGGGAGAAGTAATGCCTTCTGCCTGGCTTGGAGCTGCTAGGTCATCTGACAAATTTCCCTTTCCCTGTCCCCCTGCATTTTTATACACACATGGAAATGCAGACACGGAGATTTTAATGTATATATTAAAAGTAGACTGAAAGTTCACTTGCTGTTTGGAGATGTGTGGCACAGAAATAAATCACAGAGGGGAGAAAGGAAGGCACGTGTGCTGTTTCCTGGCAGCCTTGGTTTGCTTGGGGCTACAAAACAGAGCGAGGCACAGCTCCTGCCCCACAGCCTGAACAGGCAGGCAGGTGGATGTGGGTCAAACCCTAGGGGCAAAATGACCATCCATATTTTTTCTGGGGGTTTGACAGGGTTTTTAAGGAGTGTTTAGGGAGTAGCTTGAGGGGGAGCAATGAAATGCTGACAGCTTCAAGTGGGGAGAGGGCTGGTTTCTCCTCTCCCTGAGGTTATGTGGCTGAACAGGGGCTGCATCTTTGAAGGTGCTCGTGGATGTTCTGGAAGCAACAGAGGGAAGGACACAGAGGACAACCAGGTCAGCTCCCTGCCTCGATGAGCTGTGTGAAGGTGTTTTGACACATCAGCTTCAAACAGCCAGCCGAAGTGTATCAAGACTTTAAAGAAAGCCCAAGGTTAAGGAATATTATCGAGCTCTTTTGTTTCCCATGTGTTGGGTTGCTATTGTTTGCTTTCTGACCTTTATTACATACAACAAAAAAAGCCCTTGAAAAGGTGATTTGGGCCATGAGAAATCAAGGTGCTGTTATCTCAGTCAGTGAGATATCGGACTTAGCAGATAGCAGAAGGCACCAGGGACTGCTCCCCAGCCTGATGTCACCAAGAACAAGCTAGCTCTGTGTGGTGACACTTTTCAGATTTCTACCTTTTCCTTAGAAGGCGGGAGGGGACATGGGGACAAGGCTGACTGCATCACTCAGGCCCTAGGAGAGCAGCCATGTGCTGAGAACACAAACTGCTCATTTCACTCATTACCATCATCCATGCCTTTCCAGACATCCTATGGATGGACAACTACAGGGCAATTCTGCACTGCCTTGAGAGGGCTTTGTGTGCAGGCCCATGCACGTGGACAGAAGAGCTCTACCAGGGAGGATGGCAGTGCCTGGGGTTGTCCTAATTGAGTGTTAATGGGTCCCATTTGGGAGACAGGCTCAGCTGGGTGACAATTACCCTAATTGAGAAGAAGCTCTGGTTGGGTCCTTGGAGGGTGCTGGTTCCTCACTGAGGAGGCTGGGAAAGGAAATAGCTGTTGTTTAAAAGGGGGGAAGGTTGTGGTTATTGATTTTTTCCTTTTCCCTGTTATGATTTAGAAATATGCTGCAAAGCAAGTGGAAGGATTAAAAACCAAAAGATAGCTCTGTGAGGGGTGGGGAATGGGGCTGCAGTGGAGCACACAAAACTGCTTAGAATAAATATCTTCAGCATGGAGGGAAGCTGTCTGGTGCAGGTAGGAGAAGGGGTCTTGACAGTATTTGCTGGCAGGTGCTGCCTGGTTCAGCTGCTGGCAAGGAGCAGCTGGAGATCCACCTCCCCTTCTGCTGTGCTGCTCACACAGCGAGCGGTGCTGCCTGGGGAAACCACAGGAGGCAGGGAAGGTGCTGTTGTAGATATGGTTCATCAGTACGTTAGGGTGAGGATGCCTGCTCAAGCTTGGGATGGCTCTGGGGCTGCTGCTGTGTGAAGTATAGGGCTCTGGGTTGGTGTTACATGGACAAATGGGGTCAGCGGGAGAGCAGCTTCCTCCTGCGGGCTCTGAGCATGCTGGTGATGCTGGTGTGGGTGGCAGGTTTGGCTCAAAATGAGGTGGCTTCCCTCATCCTGCGGCCTGGTTGTTACACTTTGTGCTCACTGTAGGGATAGATGGGACCAAAGGAAATAGGGTCGGTCTTCTGCTTGTCCTTGAGTCTGTCAGAGTCAACCGTAGGCAAGTAAAAAGGAAACTGAGTCATGGAGAAGTCATGAACAAAGCACAGTCAAGCAAATGTAAATTTAGCCTCTTCTTGGACAGATAAATAAAGTCTTCAGCCATGCAAGTGCATCTGCTGGTGGAGACTTTGTTGTTCGTTTTGCTAAAAATCCTGGATGTTTTCCTTTGTTTGCTAAATTGATCCATGGCTCCCAACTCTGTTGAGAGCTTGTATCTTCAGTGTCTCAGCTGGAGCCCTTTCAGTCCTTCCCACCCAGCGTTTTCCTTTCCTGTGGGGGGAAGGCGTGCAGCAGGCATTATACAGCCTTGCTGCGGTGCCAGGCGCTGGAAACAACCTCATTACAGAGGATCCCCCTCTTCCTTTCTCTTTTTCTCACCAGGACCATAAAGCACTTGCAGATGTGAAGGCAGCCTCCAAGCATGGCTCACCTGCTCTCTGTAGCGCTTGGTCTTGATGCAACTCCAGGGAGCTTTTTAGGAAGCCCTTGTAAAAGTATCAAAGGGCTGACTGGATATTTTTGTTAGGGGCATATATTGCCTCTGATGCTCTTTTCTGGCCTGGCCTTTGTTGTGCTGTTAAGGCTTTATTTTCCTATGAGCAGCTAAGGGAGCTGGGCAGACCAAAGGTCTGCTTTGCCCAGCAGCCTGCCCCTGAGGATGTAGTGCCACGATTGTTCGTGCTGGCTTTGTGTGTTGGACCAGTCAGTGACAGGTCTGACTGGATCATCTATTGGTGTGTACAGGACTTGGATTTACTCTTCAGTGCCTAGGAAGTCTGAGGCAACACAGACACTTTATTATTAGAATTAGTCACCATTTTTGGAGCTGGAAAAATGAGGTTTTATTAGACTCCATGCTGCTTTTTTTCATGTCTTTGAGCTATAACTGTGGCAAGAAACGTTTTGAGTCACAGCCTTAGGCAATAAATAATAGATGCTCTGGGAAAAAAAAGGATAAGAAGGGGGCAAGCAAGAAGTGATTCTCCTCACAGTATTCTCTCAGATGCTGTTAACCAAACAAGATGGGCCATAACCATGTTAATTGTATGTGCCTCTGCTGGTGAAAAAGGCAAAGTACAGCAGAAACATCAAGGAAGCCAGCAGAGTCTCATCCCAGAGCGTGCGCTGCTGACTTATCAGCTTTTAAATTGCTGACAAATGACAAGCTCCTGTAATGATCCAGTTCAGAGAGTACCTTGCTGGAGAAACACAGGGATCCTCCTGGCAGGGTCATTTCTGGGGGTCATTAATCACTGATTTGATATTCAAAGCTGATGGCAAAGTCAAAGCAGGTCAGCATGCTAATGGTCATCAGCAGTGGCAACGACCAATTTCCACAGAATTATTGTCAGTGCAAGCAGCAATAAGCAGCTCAGGAAAGGCAATCTTTTATTTTTAAATGGAAGCCAATATGGGGTGGGCTGTATGTGCAAAATGAACCCCTGCCTGACAGGAGGCAGATTTGCTTCTAATTGGGAGAGGAGAGATGCAGCTGTAACTCCAGGGGCAAGCAGCATTTCCCAGCTGAGACCATCTGCTGTCATTTTGGACTGAGAAATTAAACAAGGTAATGCTTCTGGTTAGCGTGAGGGAGCTGGTGCTCGTTGTGGGTGAGCGTGGTGGGGGATGAGTCCATCCTCTGGGCTGGAGAGCAGTCCTTCCACTGCTTGCACCAGCAAGGATCCTGGCCAGAGTCCTGGGTGGCCCAGTTTAAAGGTGGAAAATAAAAGCTGCGAGCTCTTGAAGTTGTTGCTTGGCCCTTGTCTGGGAGCATGCTGTCCAGGAAGACTACAAAATGTCCTTTTGTATCAGAACCACTGCTTTCTGGCAGCCCTAAAGATGCCCCAGGAACAACTAAGGCAGGCTCATGTTTTTTCTTTCTTTCTCCGTAGACCCATGTGGTGGTACAGAGGTACCGTCTGGTGCCCAAAGGGCGAGGATTGCTTTTTTTTTTTTTTTTTTTTTTTTTTTTGCTGTAGACTCTCTTGTTTGCGTCCAGTAATTTCTAGCTCTGTTAAAGCAGCTCAGGCAGTTTTCCATGAAAATGAGTTTAAAAATATGTTGATATTTAATTTTATTTTTTTAAAACACCTGGATTTATCTGAAGTGTTTTTATTCAATGGAAAATTGAAGTGAGAGAAAACTGAAGTGAGAGCACTGATGTTCCCCCATGAGAGCCTGAAGCAGTGCTGCCCTGTTATGGCTCAAAGCAGTGAGTGGGCTCTTCAGTCTGCGCTCGTGGGTCAGGGGCTGCTATGCTGCTGGCTATGCAAAATCAGAACCAAAACTGCCTGTGTCCTCTACATCTCCCTGTCTAACTCCATCCTGTTATCTCAGCCATTTTTCTCCTGGAAAGCAGAATTCCAGCATCACATTAGGGATTACTTCTTACTCTGAATTATTGATCTCGGGTATGTGAATCTGAGACACAGCTTGAAATTATTTCTGTACAAAAGCGTATGTGGTGTGAGAAGAATGCCTCTGGAAATGGAGAGAACAGGACAAGTGCTGCTTGCTCATGCTGACCTTTGCCGAAGGCAGGTTTCCATCTGGGGATGAGGCAGGAGCTTCATCACTCTCTGCTGCTCTGCTCCTGTGCTCGAGTGGCCTTTGGCTGCTGCAAGTTTTACTGAGATGGACACACATGTACTAGGAATTGGACTTGAGACTGGCAATTAATTTCACATAATACCTTTGTTGTCCCTGCCTTGGACCAGATTTGAACTGGTGACCTGGAGATGAAAGTCACCATAGTCCCTTAATAGTTCCCGGAGGCAGGCTGTGCTAAAAGCCACCGCCAGCCTCTTTTCCTGCCTCCCTCAAGTTTAACCCTCTCCCCACCTCCTCCAGATCTCCTTTGCCTGCTGGGCATGATGGGGATAAAAGGAAGAGCAATGGGCTGTCTGTGAAGCCTTTTAACCCCTCAGGATGGCCTGGGGTGAGCTGCGTGAGTCCCGGGAGTCCTCCGGTTGCCTGAGCCTCCATGTGTCTGAGGGGATTGCATCAGCTAGAGATGTATTTGCTGGAATAGGCATGGCACTTGATCAAGCCTGTAGCTGGAATCCATCTGAGGAGCGTGAGGCCCTCTCTGGTTCCTCCCAGTGTCAGGTAATATATATTATTCATCTGATTCTTATCCAGTCTTCAGCCTGCACTCGTAGTGCCCTGCTTTTTGGCCCATGGTGGCAATGGCCGTGGTCTGGTGAAGACTAAGAAGTGATGCGTGTGCTCTGGCAGCAGCAGGAGGCAGTGAGCAGTGAGGTCTGGGCTGCAGAAAACTCCCACCCTGCAATGGGAAGGATTTTATGGGCTCTAATAAATTAAACCTCGTGTGCTCACTCTGAAATGCAGTAGTAATGAGCCAGCCTGAATTCTGAATTTGAAGATAACAGGAGCGAAGCACGGAGTAACACGCTCACTTTCAGAAGTCACAGGACCATCTGACAGTACAGGTGGTATGAAATGTAGGAGCCTGGCTGTCCTGGGTGGTAGGATGAGCTCCAGTCTCCTGCTCCTTTCCACAACATACCCAAATATTCTCTCCCAATAAACCTCCCTCTGATTTTTTTTGTAAGTTGTCTTTGAGGAGTTCCTCAGAAAACAAGGCATATCGTCGTTAGCCAAGCGTTCTCCATGTGAAGGAACACAGCTCCACGGAAAAAAAGGTCTGGAAATCAGGTGAGCACTGAAAACTCCACGTGTCCCACTGCTCTCCAGAGCCGTGGCACTCCCCTGAGGCGGGCGGGCTGCCAAATTAGTGACATGAGCTCGTTATGGGGAACACGTTCCTGCAGGCCCTGTGCTGGGAGTGTGCGAGCAGGCGGGAGGCTGAACGCCTGCCGTGACCCCCCAGCAACACCAAGCTGACATGGGTACATGGAAGGCTCCCATTCCCTACCAAATTCTTCCCCCTCCTCTTTCCCAGACATCCTAAGGACCTTACAGAGCCTCTTAGGAGCGTGTGGGCTCCTGGCCCTGGTGAAGCAGAAGCTGCCTGCAGGCAGAGCAACCCCCACTTGGACAGCTCGATGAAGACATCACTCGTCAGGCACCAGCCCTCTGCAGGTAACAAATCTCTTGCCCCTGCTCCGCAGGAATGTCTGCAGTCAGCGCTTGCACCTGAGGCTGTCGTCCTACAAAGCCCTCCCTCCCCACACACACGTGCTGCTTTGGGGATCTGGCCCCGTGTGGAGCCCCAGCCCGGCACCTCCCCGCTGTCAGCGGTGAGGAATGTCAGTGCAGGGCCAAAGGGAGAGGACGGGAACAAACCTCCCCTGCCAGGCTGTGAGGGTTGGCAGGCTTCAGTCCCAACCCTGGTTCATCGGTCCCTGTCCTCCCTGAGCTGCTCGACCCCACAAGCTCTTCACCCACCCTCCAAACCCGCCTGCTCCACTGAGCCCCCATTCCTACCCTTTCCATCTCCCCCACCATACCATAATAGTATCAACAAGGCACGCTTTGGCCTTGTGTTTTTTAATCCCCCCTGGGGGTCACAAAGTGGACTGGAAGAGTGAGAAAGGATTTATGTGAACGTGAGGGACGTTAGTTCAGGAGGTTGGGCCCGGTCAGTGAGTTAGTGTCCCTCGGTGTCCTGCCACCAGGAGGTGATGAGATGACAACTCGGTCATCCTGCTGTCAGACAGGAGAAAAATGAAGGCGTGTTCAGCTGCAGGAGTGAGGGCTGGCTGTCCTACGAGGGGCTGTGCCTTCCCTACCTGGTGTGATAGTAGGAGATGGGACTGGCTGTGAAGGCTGGCTGAGCTGTTTGGGGGGTTAGGTCCATGTCCAGAGAATTTGGGGTAGTCTGCTCCACCCAGAGATGGGTCATGTTCCCTCGTGTAACAAAAATGCAGTAATACAGAATATATTTTGCCTTAGAAATTGTATTGCGATAGGTGGTGTGACCCACGTGCTAAGCTTTCTGTCTCTCAGTAGTTTGTTCACTTTGTGTGTTATCAACGAAGGAATAAAAAATTGCTTTTGATCACTCTCTGCCTAGTGCACTGTGCTGTGGATGGGTAATCTTCTCCCATTCCCATGTTATCCTCCTGCTGGATTTCAGGTGGGCTCTGCACCCTACTTCTCTACCCAACAGTGATTCCAGAAGATTGAGAGTGGGGTTCAGGCTGGGAGAGATGATATCAGTTGGTAAGATTTTAAAGGAAAGAATAACTCCCTCATCCAGGCAAGGGGACATCCAGCCACGTTGCAGTGCGGGTCTTTGAAGCACGGTGATGGATTTTTGTTAGTGAGAGAAGCTTCTCCTTGCAACAACAGGAAATATTTCCGCAGCCCTTGCCATGTGTCCCGAAGTATGAAATGCCTCTAGCACATGGGGAGGGTGCTGGAAATAGCAGCATGCAGATCTTCCTGAGGGGGGGGAAATAAGTGGACACATGGTAGGCACCAGGCGAGAAGCAGTGATGGAGCCCTTCCAGGGAAAATAACCCTTTGTTAGGGGTCACAGAGCAAACACAGATGTCTTGAATTTTAAGTAGCCAGAGGAAGCAGAGCTGAGCCATCGTGTAGGATGCAGGAGAGGTTTTGCTTTGCGGGCAGCCCCATTGGGATGCTGGCTGCAGCATGGGGCAGTGGTGCCTGGCTTGGGAAGGAGCTCTGGGGACGGCAAGGCATCCTTGCCCGGGACTGGCCGCTTGTCACGGCGCCTCAGCTGTCCAGGCTGGCTTTGTCCTGCAGCATGGGAGCTTTCTGCTCTGTGCTTGCCTCCCCATTCACTGCCACAGTGAATGCTTGTGATTTTGGCTGGAGCTTTTGATAGACAGGGAGACTATGGCACGGGGGAAAAAAATCAACTTGGCCAAAAGCAAGTCTCATGTATTTTTTGGACAGAAGAGTTAAGCCTTGATCTGCCATATGCTCCTGGACAATCCCATCTATGCTCACAGCCTTAGACTTTGAGGAAAAAGGACTAAAGTAAATGAAATTCAGTGTGAGTGAGAACTGGGAGCAAGTGCTGAGGAGGGAGCAGATAGGAAATGTCCTTCCCAGGCAAACTTACATCCTATCAGGCTAGCCTCTGCCATGGCATGAATTGCTTATGAGTGACTTAGATAAAAATAAAAGGAAGGCAAGACCCCACAATGATTTAATAATGAAGTCACTGTTTAATTCCTTCTGGGTGAGCAGTCAGGGAGCAGCACTGTGATGGGGTGTATAAGAAAATGGTGGTAGTTCTCCTCCCTTCTGTGCTGGCTGCCCAGCATCTTCACCAGCTCTCAATTCACATTGCTTGCATCCTCTGTAGTGACTGAAAAAGAAAGGAAAATGAAACTTAAAAAAATAATATATATATATATATATATATAAAGGTGAGAGATATTATAAAGGTATCGTCCTTTTGTTAAGCGTGCACTTGGAGAGCTCTCAGGAAGGTTTCTATCTGAAGTTGAGATTGACTGAATTTCTGGAAAGGGAACAGGGATCAGGGCTGCAAAGAGAAATGCTGTGCAACGAGATGTGGAGCAGCTCAGCTCACTGCAATGAAGAGGGACCTGGATGCTGACCTCACTCAGGCTGCAGGCAGTTGCAGGAGGAATAAAAAGTAAATCTGGGCTTATTGCCATGAATAATATGATGTCTTTACATCCTGACCTAATTGTATTAATTCTTCATGGCAAATATCATATGGAAGTGGCTGATTAGTACCTAGCAATGAGACTGGTATTGGCCATCTGGTGCTCCTGGCTCGGAGGAAAAAAAAAAAAAAGGATGAAATAAAACTGAAAAACATTATAAGAGTCTTTCAAATAATGAATTAGCCAGATTCATTAAATTCCAGTTCAAATTTGTCTCTACTGCCACTCGTTTATGTGCAGGGCATGAGACAGTTGCATGACTGTATCTAGGAGGAAAGTGGCCCCTCCAAGCTGAACACGTGCAGTGAATTAGGGTTATTTTGCAAGTAAGAGACTCCATGAGAAACAATGGAGTCAGCTCTGTCTTATCTGACTTACTGTCTGTTTGCCTTTGTTCTGGGTTAATACCCCACCTTCAGTTCCGGAGACTCCTTATCCTGGGAGTGCAGCTCATTTACAGGTGAGAGTAATTAGTCAACAGCTCTTCCATCTGTGAATTATAGCAGGCAGGGAAACTGAGGTACAGGGATCTTTCATATGTCTTATCTGAGCCTGGCCTGGCAAGGCGGTTGTGTAAATCCTTCCCTTTAAACCTTTCACATCTGGCAGCTCAGAGACAAAAATCTGCCTGTGGTTTTGCTTCGTATTTCCCCCCTTAGTCCTAGGAAAAGGTGATGCCTGAGAATGGCAGTCCATTGAAATGAGGAATTCTTCAACTTCTCTTGGGGTTTGACAGCAAAGGTCTTGCATGAAGTCTACAGAGACTGAGGGTCCTCTTCTGAGGCAGGCAAATTTGATTTCAAATGTTAGGATGTTGGGACTTCTGCTGAATAAATTTATTCTTATTGTTGGAAGAAGCCAGGAAGAGACCAGTTTGGTTTGGAAAACAGGGTGGAAGTCTTGATCTGAGTACAAGAGAACTCCAGAGGGATGACAAAGTAGCTGGGTTCTCTGGATGGGTGGGGAGAGCAGTCAGGAAACCCGGATTTGAGTCAGTGGCTTCCCTCAGTGTGAAGGTTGGCCAGAGGTGACCTGAGTTGTTCATCAGCCAGATGTCCTTGCTGGACTGTCTGCTTGTGAAAGACCTGGGTGTGCCTGAAGTGTTCTGCAGGGCCTGCTCTTGGAAAGTTTTGGACAAAAAAAAAAGATTTAATTTTAAAGTTTTATTTTTGATTACCAGTCTCTTTCCTGTGCTGCACCTGCGTATGCTGAAAACACGTGTGGTGGTGGCAAATTTGTTTGGCTGGTAGGCCACTGGAATGGGCAATGGAAATGGGATGAGGGCCACTTGACTGAGGCTGTAGAGACCGGGTCTGTATGCTTGCAGGACTCTCCCCAGAGTTCAGCTAATCCCATGCTAAATCTCTGAAGTCAAGAAATTTTGAAGGCAGCATCAAGGATGGCAAAAAGTGGTGGATAAATCTTACAAGCAACTGAATTTGTTATTACCCAGGGAAAGGTCAAAGCTTCGCTAGCACACTCTATGCTGCCCAATGTACAGCCAAGGACTCGTGTTTTTGACTGGTCAGACCCCACATGCCCTGTGTTTGGGATGCTCTGACACCTGTGCAGTGTCTGCAAACTCAGTGCCCCTGTTGTGATGCTGCTCCTTCAGAGAGGTGAAGCTCAGCACACAACGTTGTCTTTCTGATGTTCCTCCATGCTGCTTGTTTCCTCTCCTCTGCTCCTTGGCTTCTTGCTGCTTCTCTGCTTCAGCACGGGGTCCTTGATGAGCTCTGTCCCTTAGGGGGTTTCCTGCCCTGGTGTGCTGCCCCATGGCAAGCTGTTCCCGTGGGCACAGAGATGCTCTTTCAAGTCTGTATTTTCATCTGTGTCCCTGGCTTTGTCTTCTTCCCATATTTCCCTATTCCTCTTCTCTAACCCAACCATACCTCTTCACATTTCTCCTGTTGAACTCCAATCTCCTTTCCTGTCTCCTTTTTGCATCTCCCCACACCTTCCTTTTTGTGTTACTACCCCTCACATGTCCCTCTGCCAATCTTGTCCATGCAGCTGCTGCCTTCACTTAATTACACCTGAACATCAGTGCCCCATCCTCCCCGAGTGGCTGCAGTTTTGGGGTGCCACGGGCTGCATGGATGCTGTGGGCAAGAAGCACAAAGGTGCAGCTGCTCTCTGGGGGAGAGCAGCACAGAAACGAGCAGGAGAGCCTTGCTCTTGGGTAGGAGGAGCTGAGTGTCCTTGTCTTTATGCCTGGTTTACTATGTGCCTAATAAACTCTGGGTTTGCTTTTAATTTAAGCCTGCTTTTTCTTTTCCCCCTAATAATTAATGGTCAACAACATAACCCAGCCTGGTTGCTTGACAGAGCAGCGCTGCGCTATAACCATGGCCTTCTGAGCAGGCTCCTTATTAAGTGTGCTTGCTGGGTAAACAAATAGGGGGGAGCCTGCTGTGGAGTAATATATTCCCCAAACACTCCAGAGTTGCCAAAGGATGTGTGTTCAGA